CACGGGCTGAGACTGTCCAGCGCTCTCAAAGACGCCTTCACGAGGCGTGTTCGGGCGCAAATGATCTACTCTGTGTTTCCAAAAAGTTGTCATCTTGTCTTAACGCAAGGTTCTAGCCCTACCTACATGGGCAGGTAGGGTCCTGCTTGGACTCCGTTGAGGGTGCACGACTTACATGCCACCCCCACCAGACCTCTCTCCGTTAGCTTTTGGTAACCCAATATTCTGTCTCCCTCTTCGACATATCTCAAGTCTACCTACTTAGCTTAAGCACGTCGTTGGCAGCTGACCAAGGCTTTCAACTGTGTGTGGTGTGGATCACGCTCTCGGACTACATGTAACAGGCTTTCAGTTGCCAGCCTTCTCGCTCAGGTTCCCCCATTCACTACGCTTCTCTTGATCTCTTACATTACCGTCTATATAATCCACCAGCCTTGTTCCTTGATGGCAGTTTTCCTTGTGAGTCGTGCACAGCTGCTCGAAACTTCTTGGTGTTTTCTGCTCCTATCAATCAACACAATTCAAGGACAAGGTACGTACCTTGGCTTCATTACAGGTACCTCTTTCCAGGTTTGAACCATCCTTGTTCATCTCCATCACCACATATGATTACCAGCCTCGCTGCTTCCAGATTGGGCTTCCTTTGCCACGTGCCTGCCAGCTGTTTTAATCTTCCGGCTGGCTTCCACTTCTTCGTTCAGACAACTCGTTCCTTCCCTGCCATTACCTCTTTCCGCCGTTCTTTCCTGTTTACCTCTTCTCACCGTTCTTCCCTGCCATTACCTCAACTTTTCAACCGCTCTCCTCTCCCATCACCACATGCAATCGCCAGTCCGATTGTCTGCCAACAGCCTGACGTTAGACATTCCGTGACGGTCAAATACCTATTCTCACGACTGTATTCCTCGTCTTTCAACCTCGTCGCTGCCCTATCCCACTGGTGTTCTCCGGCGACTTCTTTCCCTTCATTGAACGACTACCTTGGTCGGTGCGCCATTTCTTTCGCGGGGTATCTCCAGTTGTTTTGTTTCTGACTACCCGTATAATTCAACTTTCATTCCCCTTCAATTGCCTCTGCTTTGTCGGGTCTTTGATGATTGCTTACTGACTAACCTTGCTGCTCCAGTGATCAGTCTGTCTAGCGCCTTATTCGGCTGTTCTGTCAGTCGGTTGAGTTGTTCTGGCAATTCTTGACGTCAACTTCTCGGTTTTCAGAGATAACGTGTTAAGAGTCGCGGTCTAAGAGACGGTCACATCAACTACATGCTTTTCTCTGCTACCTTCCCAAAGGCCGCTCGCGACTTGGCCAAGACCCATCTGGCCGAGACCCACGTCCGATTGCGTGTTGGTCGTGCTGGCAGCACGCACGAGAACATCAAACAAACCATCATCTATGTCGATCCATCCAGGAAGAAGGAGACAAGTTAGCACAAAGCGAGTAAGCTATCAATCCTGTCACCCCCCGATCATTATGGTCGCTTGCCCATCATGTTGTTAACATTGCTGTTACTATAGACTTCTTTGTGTTCTGTCTGATTGTTTTGTCTGATACCTAGGGCTACTTGTATCTACTGTCAAAGATCAAGCTTGTTTCCGCGATAATCATTGTCCGCGACGGGATTGGGTCCGACATAGCCAGGCAGGTAAGATGCGCACCCACATCTCCGCACAATGGAGGCGGCCTTCTCTTCGTCTCTTCTTGGTCTTTGCTTACGCCCTGGTCGAAAGGTCATCGGCGGCATCACTCAATTTAGTTGGGACGTTACTAAGCATGGCTTGGTTCACGTCTTCGCCTCTTCCCAGCTTGGTAACGCTCCCCACCGAGCTTGGCCTTTACGTCACCGAATTGGTTGGTGAACCGGAACTGGCGGCGCTTTCTCGGGTCAACCGTCGGCTTGGCCAGTTTGCCAATTGCGTTCTTTGGAACAGAGTTATCAAAGACCCAGTGAGGTGCCAAGAAGTTCTCCTTTGGGCCGTCGAAGTCGGCCAGCATACCGTGTTACACTTTATGCTAGAGAGGGGTGTCGACCCCAACTTCTATTATCTCTCGTCCCTACTCAGGAGTAGGCTGCAGGATGTCTTTGCTGCTCAGGGCGGGCGGCGCGGTACGACTCCACCGCGGGACGACATTCACCTTCAAGCCGAACAATTCAGGGAGACCTTGTGCAGAGATAGGTCCGCGAGAACCCAGGCACAATATTTCCAGTTGAAACAACGTCCGTCCAGCAATACGTTGGTCCAGGACCTGCACTGGCACATTACGGAGCGGCACCCCCAGTGGCAATACCGGGCTGCGGAGCTGAAATTCGCAGTCAGTGGCAGTCTTGATAATGTGGACGGCCTGGAATACTACACCTGGGCCCCGATCCACATTGCCGTCCTGCGTGGAGACACCCACGCAGTGCGGCTCCTCCTCAGTCATGGGGTTGACATAGAGGCACAGTCTTCCGGTGCGTGTGATTGCGCTGCCCCAGCTCTTGATGGCATTGACGACACAACCAACAACATGTCGCCTCGCCGATTCAGGTCGATCTGGACACCTTTGCATCTGGCCATGTGCTCCGGAGACAAGACCATGGCGGATCTCCTCATCTGCAACGGTGCGTCTCGCTGGGTTGGCAGTCTTGTGCGATACCCTCGCCCCTTAGCCGGCTCGCGGAATCGTGTTCGCCCAACAATCACGAGTCTCCAGAATGCCGCTTGGCTCGGATCGGTTGAAATGTGCGAGCTTCTTGTGAACTCACCCCATGGCAAATTCCTGAATTACGCCAACCGCCGACGGTATACTGCCCTCCACTACGCCGCCCTCGGCGGTCATATTCGAACCGTTGGCAAATGGCTTCTCGAGCACGGAGCGGATTTCCCCGACGAAGGCGAGGCGGATCCTCAGGGGCTTCCACAGCGCTTTCTTAACGACCCGCTGAGACTTCTCGTCATGAAGCATGAATACGCCGACGCATTGTGGCTGCTCAACTTCTGCCACCTGCATTTATCATCTTGGAGCACCTCATCGCTGGCAATCTTGTATTGCCGAGTTCTCGCCGCTCTTTGTCACCTGAAGTTACCCGTTACGTATAGGACGTTGACGCTTCGCGAGAGACAGGATAGTCTCTGCAATACGACCCCGACCGATATCAAGGCGAGAGATGATAGACTTATCGAAAACATGATGGATTGGACGATCGAGAGACTCGTCCTTGCTAGAAGACTCGTGAAGCTGGGCGCAGATCCTTCACTCCGACAATTGACCACCCGGTATAGAATGCCAGTGGTCTCCAATGTGGTTCAAGATTACATGTGGCTCACACCAATTGAGATTGCGAAGCGTTGCGAATTCACCGCAATGGCCAATCTCCTTGAGAACAACGTCGTCGGTGACATCGATACCAAAAATTGGGATCGCTGGGAATTCGAAGCCCTGTGGATCAAACCTGAAGACGTGGAGAACTATTTCTTGGGCTTGGACGACGACATGCCCGGTGAAAGTGATGATGGCGAGGAGGAAAGGGCAGCATCTCCTGAGCTATGAGCTTGAATGTCGCTCCCAGGACTCCCGGGCCAATGAACATTGAAACAACTGCCTATGTAGAATATTCCATTGCCGAGCACAGGCCGTGAGCACACCAATTTGGTGCCAATACTTTCAGAACAACCTGAATGTAGGAGAAAGAACAAGAGTATAGCCAGCTCGGTCCCGGAGTTACTGCAATATTGTGACAAAGCGTTAAGGGAGAATAGCTGGGCCAAACATTCCACCAGTACGAAGCACGGTTTGTACAGTATTTTGGCTGGTCGTGATTCAATAAGGGTATGGGGCAAGACAGGAATGGCGGGAACTAGGCCAGTGATAGGATCAAGGAGGTTGTTGTGAGGTTGGATCAAATGTGCCGGCACCTGCATTCCAGCTTGTTCGATCCCTACCCACGGAGTCATGGGCTCTCTTTGACATCGGTGTAGCTCGTGCTTCGGTCATTCCTCGGAGAGCAAATGGGGCTTACCCCGAATGGCGAGGTCCGGCAACTGGATAAGAAATGCCACTTCCTTTACAACAAGTGCTCTGGATTGGCGACTATGGCTCTAATGAACCCCCATGGGGCCGAAGGACTTCCCCCAAGCCGTTTCCGTTTCCGTGGATGCCGATTTCCATGCAAAAGCCAGATCATGACCTCATAACTGCAGATCATCGAACCACGTCTAAACCCAAAGCCACCAACACAGAACGCCAAAGCAAGAAGATAGAAAGCCGCTTAAGCGGTCTTGGGGCCCTGTGTAGGGGTCACCTTCTTGCCGTCCTTGTTGTAGCGGACGCGCGGCGGAGGAGCACGGTTGCGGCGGCCCTCGCGGGATCGGACACTATTTGCGTCTCTGTCAGCAAGCCGCTCCTGGAATCTGGGGAGCGGGACAACTAAAATGGCGGAGGTTCGACCAAGGATCTTCTCAGCCGCCCACGTCGCCGAGGTGGCGCGCGTGGTTGTCCCCGCCATGCGGACAAACGTACCGGACGATCTTGCCGTGGATAGCGCAAGAGACGCAGTACTGCAGCTTGAGGTACATCTTGGGAACCGTGTACTCGGCGAACACAGAGGCGTCCGAGATATCACCTGAAGGACGTTCACTCGTTAGCGAGACTGAAGTATAATGAAGAGTCGAGCATTGCCAGAGCAATTGGGATCGTTGTGGCCGTCTGAATCGTCAATGTACGTACGGATGGCTGCAGACTCGACCATGTTGCGGATGGTGAACCGCTTGATAGCCTTGTCCTTCGGGGTGCATCGTGAGCAGTTGGAGCACCGGATGGGCTTGACGTGGCCGCGGCCTGCGAGTTCTCAAGTCAGCGGGTTTCAGGCAATCTTGATGAGGAATAGGATGATTGATATCCTACCCTTCTTGTTGCGGCCGTTATTCTTTCTCTTCTTGACCATTTTGTCGGTGTCTTGAGTACTGATTCTCAAGAGTTGTCGCTTGGAAGGGCGAGGAGGTTGAGAAATTCAACGCGGTCTGGAAATGCTGGAGTGGTGAATGTGATGCCCCACAATTCCCCACCCGGCCACTTAGGTTCCGTGCAAAATGCTTCTCGCCCGCGCCAGGGCAACTGCTGTGAGAAACCCTAACTGGAACAACCCACCAGTCAGCTGACCCGCACCCTAAGGTGGGGCAATTCCCAAAAGTTCAAGTGCGCAAGCTGCAACTTCAAATTCCTCCTCTTACCTGACCAAGCGCATCTTCACAACATCTACAGATTGCTGAGGAAGACATTGTGTCTAGGTACGTCTGCGCGATGTTGCGAGCCGCTGCGCTTCTTTTCCTCCCTTTTCCTTAGCCGCCTCATGATACCCAATCTTGTCATTCCCGAACTCGCCCGCAGCGACTTGGAACTTTTCGCGAGCGAAAATGTCCAAGCCGCCAAGGTCCAGTTCAACGATCCGTTGCCGTGGCTGCCCTGAGGTGTCTCTCTTTTGCGTCTAACATTTCCTCACCACTTCTCAGCAGGCAATCATGCAGATCTTCGTGAAGACCCTAACGGGCAAGACTATCACCCTTGAGGTGGAGTCGAGCGACACCATCGACAATGTCAAGTCCAAGATCCAGGACAAGGAGGGCATTCCCCCGGACCAGCAGCGCCTGATCTTTGCCGGCAAGCAACTCGAGGACGGCCGGACTCTCTCCGACTACAACATCCAGAAGGAGAGCACCCTCCATCTTGTGCTCCGTCTGCGTGGCGGTGCCAAGAAGAGGAAAAAGAAGGTCTACACGACCCCCAAGAAGATCAAGCACAAGCGCAAAAAGACCAAGTTGGCTGTACTTAAGTATTACAAGGTCGACAGCGATGGCAAGATCGAGCGTCTCCGCCGCGAGTGCCCCAACGAAACTGTGAGTTATCTGTACCTGGTTTTTCGCGAATCATGGCATCGAGCCAGACTGACTGTGTCTTCCCAGTGCGGTGCTGGTGTCTTCATGGCTGCTATGCAAGATCGCCAGTACTGCGGTCGCTGCCACTTGACCTACGTCTTTGAGAAGAGCGCCTAAACGGCAGGCCGCCTGGACGGACACCCACGGCAACGGGAACGGGAACGGAATTGCAATGAGCTTGGAACGAGCGACGATGTCCACGTCGACGTCGATATACCTTGAAAGTGGACATACTTCGGCTGACCAGCAAGGAAATGCAATTTGGGTGATGATCACTGGAACTGGCACCATCTCGGCCAGCGGTTTGGCATCACAGACCCAACTGCCTTGATAGGAAGAGCGGCTAGCTACCTAGTTAATACAGTCCAGTTCCCGTCCCGCGCTAATTGTTGGGGAACCCTTCCCTCAAATTGTCATACTTGGTGTACGGGTACGTGATGCAGTTTTCCCTCCATTCGAGAGCGCGCGGACCACCCAGGACCTCGACCACGTTGCCAATGAGACTTTGCGGTCCCTCCTTGTCTGCGCTGCTCTCCCACCACATGCCGCCTCCGAGGCCGCGCCGCTTGATGTAATCCGCCTTTCTCCTCGCCATCTCAACATTATCATAGCTCACCAGTACTTTGCGAGCAGGTTGGTAACAATAACTGCCCCCCGCGTCCTCATCAATTCTCTCCTCGGCGCCCTCCAGTGGTAGCTTCTTGTAGTCGTGCACACCATTCTCCCACGTACCCTCACCAACCCCGCTGTAGGGCTTGCCCAAACCTTCGGTGCCCTCGAAGGCGCGGCCGTACAGCGGCATGCCCAGCACGATCTTGGCGGGGTCCACGCCCCGCGACACGTAGTGCGTCACGGCGGCGTCGGTGCAGAAGGGCGTGCACGCCGCGTTGGACGCGCATCGGAAGAGGTTCGCCTGGTGGCCGGCCACGACGTCCCACGACCCGGCGTAGTCGTAGGCCATCAGGTTCCAGAAGTCCAGGTACCGGTCCATGCCGGGTATGTCGAGCTTCTCGTAGTTTTGGGCGCCGGCGGGGCAGGCCACCGTCAACTCGAAGTGCGGCGGGCAGGAGCCGTTGACCCTCGCCGCGTACCGGTCCAGTTCGGCCCGGGTCTCGCAGAGCAGCGAGACGAAGTCGGCTGCTTCCTGCGGCGTTTGCGGGTATTCCCAGTCGATGTCTAGACCGTCGAAGCCCAGGCGAGAAAGCTGGCGGACGGGGAAGTGGTGGTTAGTACGCTGGGAATAAGGTGGGGGAGAGCGAAATGCTGGGAGACGAACCAACTCGACGGCGGACGAGGCGAATGTGCTTCGTCCTGCCGGGGTGGAAGCAGGCTGCTTGAAGTTGCTGCTGTAGGTCCAACCGCCGATGGAGAGCAGCACCTTGAGGTTGCGGTTGCGCTTCTTGAGCAGGTTGAGCTGCTTCAGGCAGCCGTACAGGTTGGTGCCCGAGTCGTTCCAGCTATCCCCCTCCCAGTGGATATCCGTGTCGGCCCACGAGTCGGTCAGGTAGACCTCGCCCGAATCCGGGCGGACGTTGGCAAAGGCATAGAGCACGTGCGTCAGCTTCTCGACCGGCAGATCCTGCGGCCGGTGCTTGCGGGCGTAGATGGCCCAGTTGACGAAGTAGGCGACCGAACGGTAGCCGGTGGTAGGTCCGCCGCCCATGGTATATGTTGTTGCTGGTAGTGGTGTTTGTAGCTGCAGTAGAGCCTTGGTAAGGGAAAGCGGTTGGGATCTGCTGTCTGATGCTGCGAGGATGATGGACAGAAGAGCTGCTACGAGACAACAGAGAAGTATGATGAGACTGTAAGACCTACAAGGTGTGGGCATACAGGAACTTATACATCTATGTAATGCCGTCTTTTCTTAGGTAATTCGTTGGGTTCAATGAAGAATGCTAGCTCAGGAGGGCGCCAATGGAGCTTGCGTGGAGGGGCGAGGTGGGAGCTTCAGAGTGGGCCCATGCTAGTGGAGCTTGAGCCTACGGCGGGGAGTACTGTATGTATGTAAAGTACAAGTATAGTACATACGCCTACTGACGTACTGAAGCCGAGGACACAATCGGGCAGCCCATTAGCAGGCGGTTGGCTGGTTGTAGTCATGTACTGCTAAGTGTATGCATCTTTCATACGGCACCAATGGAAGACAAGTTCGGAGACCAGATGCTCACTCTCATGCAAAGTAGGATTCCAGGTTACATAGGGAGGTATCCGTATTTCCAGTGGCTACTATAGCCAAAGAGGTAATAATTACTGAATGTATGTACAGTACAGTACAACTCGACAGATTTGTGGGGTCTACAATGGATCAACGATAGCGTTATCCGTACTCCGTACATAGCCCGGGCATCCCTTTGACCGTGGATTTGGACCATTTAAGCGAGCCCCATAAAGACTTCCGATCCAGCGAAATTCGGAGTGTGCTGAAAGTCCTGATCTACGCCAAGTTATGGGGATCGGGGTTTCGATTGGCTGCACCCCTTGTCCTCGCTTAAATGGTCCAAATCCACGGTCAAAGGGATAGGTATCTGTGTGTACCTCCCGGGAGTGGCTGAGCTGAGAAGACACCGTGGCGCAGCTCGATATGACGACAAGTTTTGAAGTTTGAAGGTACAGGTGAAATATATGTAGTAAGTACGAAGTATAAATATACCTTATTTCATTAACTTGCTGATGTTTTGAATTTGGACTACTGGTATTTGGCTAACGCGGAATTGTATTCCATGGACAGGGGGATGGGCAACCTTCTACTCAGAACTCAGGAGTCAGTACCTTACATACCTACCCCGTTAGGACTTGTGGAAATAAGATCTGAAGCCATCAAATCTTCAGAGAGATTACATCGATTCGAGACTTGTTTCCGAGCCCCGTTTCCTTCCTCGTTCGACATACATCATGTGCTAATAAATGCCTTGTCTCCTCTTAGGTCAGTATCACCTAAGGAGGCCCTCCACTACTTAGGTTCAACTGGCCTATTGAAGCTTTTCATCGTGTCTTGATTACATTCATAGGTATTGATTATTCTCCAGATCTGGTCTCTTTGCCTGGCTCAGATAAGGTAATCATGGATGTATTGCAGATTGATAGTTCCTCAACTCCTTATGGCGCGAAGCACACAATGCCATTTGATCCATCAAATTCATCACTAACCTCACCTGCAGGCTAGACGGACGCTCTCCCTGAACCTTTCTATCAAATTCATATCCGGATGAGAGTTGGTGTTGTAGTCTATAAAAGGAAATCTCGTTGGACTAACTTTATTGACTGCAGCGATCTATACCTACCTAATTTCCATCAGGCGCTTTCGTTTTCCTCGGCGTCAATCAGACTCCTCCGGGGGCAGATGCGGTTGTGCCTGAGCATTGCAGGAGCACAACATGCCCCTTCCGCTGAAATACTGCCTTCCATAGGCAATGAACAACTGTTGACCTGCTACAATCCTCTTGACGGTGCGGAAGGCAACTATTCTTACCTTGCCCACCTGCTCTGGGTAAGCCACGACATTCGGCGAGCAGTGCGAATTGACAAAGCGTGTCCAGTTGCCGTGCCTCTGAGCGTTAATGACAACACCGCTGATTCCTTCGGCCGGAAAACCCGGGAGCTCGAAAGCGTAGTTGGAGTCGTCAGCCCCTGGGTATGTAGGGGGAAGCAGCTCACCAAGATACTCACCGATCCACTCCCCCTTTTTCAGGACACACCCGGGACGGATAAACACGCCAAAGCCCATATTCTGGGTCTGGCGAATTTCAATCAGCCTATGCATCCGGTCAAACTGCCGCTCATACCTAAATCGCATATAGCAGTTTATTGAGCAATTTGGGCTGGCAGGGTGATGTCCGCAGTAAAGGCAGGCGTATTCGGGCGGTGGAAGGGTCCTAGGCGGCCGGAGAATGTCAAGTATTGCCGGTGATAGATACGGCCTGAATGGGCCGGTCCGATACGTGGGCAGGGACCGATTGGACAATCTAATAGATCTTCTGGCCAAACCCCATTTAGTCTCATCGATCATATAGTCCTGAATCTGTCGAATCTCATCCCCCAGACAGGTCACTCGCGTTTCATTTGCATTGAGAACCCGAAAGACACTCACGGTTGATTCGGAATAAGTCGGCGTCATAGTTATCTCGGGTCGTTGTTTGTTTCTCTTGTTCTGATCTAATCTGTGAGGTCAACATTGCGCAGAACTGATTGTTCTCGGGCAGTCTACATAACTTGGAACTCAAGAGAGGAGTTTCCACTAGTTATTCTCAGGTTGTAACAATCCCCTTGTGGGAATAATATGTAAACCTCCTATGTAGTAGGGCCGGAACTTCGGGGTTGAGAAAGCGCTCTTGGTCCTAGATAACAAAGGGGATAAACGGCTGTAGTCATTTTAGTCACTTGTTCGTGCGGCCGCCATATATAGCACAAATCTCAACTCTTTGTCCTGTTTCGCGTGGTATTCCGGAAGACTGGATCCCGAGGACTGAGAAACCACCGCTAGAACAAGGTCGCAGATTGGTAGGTTACGGTTGTTGGGACACTCAGAGATGGATGTATGTGCTTTGTGGCGTTGCGAACGGTTTATCTTCATCTATCACCAATGACACTCTCTAGCTGCTTGCTCGGCATCTACATGTATTCACTCAGACTCTGTTGACCATGACACAAACGACTCCTGATGGTTGCTTACCCACTCCGCGATCTCCTTGCAAGGCGCAATCCAGAGCTCTTCGTCCATACCGATCCTTTTCACCACATCTTCCAGTACGCTGAATTTCTCCTCGCTTGTCTGCAGAAACGGATGGAACAAGATCGACAAGAATCCCCCAGTCTCCTTGGCTTGGTCGATCCTCCTCATCAACCACTCTTTGAACTCGGCAGGGCTTAGTACATCCTCCTGTTCGCCATGTTCTTTCCTGATGGCGCTGAACTTTTCCATATACCAAAATGCGTCCACCGCCCTCCACTCAAAAGGCAAGACTACCACGCCCTCCTGTCCAATGCCAAACTGCCCCAATGGCGAGACGTAGCTGACCCCGCGCTCTTTGAGCAACCCCCAGGTCCTGTCGTTAATTTTGCCGCCGGGCGGCCTGAACCCGGAATACACAATGCCGGCCTCGGCGGCGGCCCGCCAGCTCTTTGCAAAGCTGTCCCTCTCCTCTTCGGCCGACAGGCCTCCCCACACCTCGTGCTGGTACCCGTGCCAGGCCACTTCGTGTCCGTCCCGTTCCAGCGCTTCCACCGCGCCGGGGTACACGCCCAAGCTCCAGGCCTCGACGAAGTATGTCGCGCGGATCTTGCGCTGCATGCATGTGTCCCGCAGAAGGGCCAGCATCTGCGGTAGCTGCGTGGTGACGGCCGGGTGGGATCCTATCGGCGCGGTCCACGTGCCCTTGTGCACGTCTTGGGCTTCGCCGAGGTTGTCCATTGTAAAGGCCACGGCGGCTTTGTATGAGGCCGGCCAGCGACTGGCCGGGTTTTGTGATGTCATTGATCTGAGGTCTTCGTCGACTATCATCTCGAGGGTGGCCTGAAATTTTGTGCAAGTTCTCAAGCTCTTTGTAAACCGGTTTTAATGGCGCTTGGGAATGATGGAAGAATTTACACTCAAAATGAGAAACGTAGAAAATCATACAGTAAGTCATAGTGAAGATCGCCGTTCCTGTGGATGCAATGGGAGTTGCGGAGGGGGACGGGATGGGTCCAGTGACCCGTGGGCACTACAAGTACTGGTATTCGCCGGTTCGGCAGTTGCGCAACCAGATCGAGAGGGTTTATGATAGTAACACGTTGCTTGCATGTCACATATTGTTACATTATATAGCATTCATATTGTCCACGAGTCCATAGGAAATAGGGTTTGTGTCTTTTTCCCAGTGAAGATTGATAATGATACTGTCTAAGTAGGTAGGTACCTTATGCTTCGCTGATGCGAAGTTCGTGAATCGTTGTCCAGTATGTCTAGATACGGACAATTAGGCGTTATCGGGCTTTGACTCGTTCGTCAGTAACGTGTCTGTGGGCTTCGTAGCCTCGGTATTTGCATGAAGCCGGAAAGTCGCATGCTCCTTCCCTGGTTTCACAGACGGCCCGTCGCCTTCTCTGTCATGAGCATCAGTCCGATGCTGCCGAGCAAGAAAAGTTCCAGCGATTTTCTTGCCGAGGCTTTTGCTGAGGCGCCGTACAACGCTTGTCTGGAACTCCTCCGAGTCTACATGATGCGGAATGCCCATTTCATCAAATGTTCTAGGGCACCGTCGAAGAGGAGGCATCTCTGATTCCATGTTAGATGATTTTTTTGACCCGCTCGGGGACTGTCTTGGGGTAGTTTGTTCAGCCATGGTGTCGATCTCAGTTCTCACGGTGGGCAAAGTCTGAAGTCTCACAGCTTGATGATGCTCGACTGGAGAGAGATATGATGAAGACGAGACGACTGACGAGGACCCGATGTCCTCGTCTCGCTTTATATAATTTTTCATCAATCTGTTCTGCCCGCTTGTTAGCGGACAATGACTTGTTTCAAGAACATACTAGGTGTCTCTCAAACAATACCTTGGTCTAATGTACCTAGGTTACAACTTACAAGTGCTCTATCTAACCATGCTTTATTAAGCTACCAGTAGGTATTACATCTTCAGGGGGTGTAACCCTAAGCCTAATAGTGTGAATGATACATACCACAGTACATTTCGCCTAACACGGCAACTGATTTTAGGTAGTGGTGGATGACCTCACCAGCTTAATTTGGTATGACACGAAATCAATCAACAGCAACCCACCCCAGTTCACCAACAATCTTGCCCCACCTACATCTCTTGCTTCCCCGTGATACGCAATGGAAGAACTCAGCCTCTTGATCCTGGGCGCGGGCTGGACAGCCACTTTCCTCATCCCGCTCCTCGAATCCCGCAGGATCCCGTTCGCAGCAACAACCACCTCAGGCCGCTCAGTTGCCGGCGTGCCAACAATCCCATTCAAATTCGACCCGGCGGCTCCGGAGCCTGAAACCCGCGCAGCCATCGCCGCTCTGCCCCGCGCCCGCCACGTGCTTGTCACCTTCCCACTCCTGGGGAAAGGCCCGAGCCGCCTGCTCGTGGAAACCTACCAAGCCACGCATGCCAGCAACCTGAGCGGCGCCTCTGATAATGACACCGAGGACAACCCGAGCAAGCACTTTCGCTTCATCCAGCTGGGCAGCACTGGTATCTGGCAGCAGAAGCAGCAGCAGCAGCAGCAGCAAGAGAGCACCTCCACGCCCAACCCCTGGCTAGACCGCCACAGCCCGTACCAAACCGGCTCCCCGCGGGCCGTGGCCGAGGACGAGCTGCTCGCGTTGGGCGGGTGTGTGCTGGACCTCGCGGGGCTGTGGGGCGGGGCGCGGCATCCGCGCGGGTGGGTGCGGCGGGTGGCGACGAGCAAGGAGGCGGTGCGGCACAAGACCAGTCTGCACCTGGTCCACGGGCTGGATGTGGCCCGGGCGATTGTGGCCCTGATTGCTGGGCCTGGGCCCGGGCATGCGGAGGATGGGGACGCGGACGCGGACGCGGACGGCAACAACAGGTGGGAGGTTGCGGGGCGAGGGCAGAGGTGGATGGTTACGGACGGGTTTGTGTATGACTGGTGGGCGCTGATGGCGGGCTGGGCGGCGGTGGAGCAGGAAGTGGAGGAGGGTCCGGGGGAGGGTGATGGGCCGGTGACTGAGCAGGCGAGGTGGGTAAGGGAGTTGATGCTGGAAGAGGGGGTAAAGGCGTTGCCGAGGGGAATGGAGGCTTTGGGGAGGTGCTATGATTCGAGGGAGTTTTGGGAAACGCTTGGGTTGGTGCCGTTGAAGGCAAGAGTGTGACTCGACGGATATACGCCTGTGAGCTGGGGTAGATGTTCATCATTCTGTTTCAGTTTGACTCTAGGGGCCGATGAAGGCCTTTGCCGCGTCTGGACGGAGCAGGAAGGGAAGGCGACCGGAACCTTAGCGAATGTTATACTGTATACTATTGGGAGGCACGAGGGCGGTCAAGACTCATCAAAGGGAAAGGCGGGGTATGCTTCTCTCAGTTCTCAGACCAGTATTTTGGGCGGCCCATTTGGGAGAATCCATCCCAGTGAGGTTCATGTATCTCTGGGATTCTGGATTCCAGCGCGTCTGCCCCGACCGGCCCCCCCAACTGCCCCTGGCTGGTACAACCACCGCGCCCTAGCGCCGATCAAAAAAGTTAGTTTGGAATCCGAAACCTGGAACCCGGTTTCCACTGGAGCTGGCTCTTAGTCCTGTGCAGTGGCATTTGTCGGATTTCTCGAGAATATAAAGTACGGCATAGAAGCGGGGAAGTTTAACCTCGATCTGTGAGCTGTATGTATTATACATACACTACTAGTTAGGGAAGGGAAAGGAAATTTCAATTTTCCGAAATTTCAACCCTTCTGTGAAATTTTTTCTTTCAAAAGGCCTATGAATTTCAATATTTTCATGCCAAGGATTTTTCTCCTATAGTATGTAGGTCAGGTGGCTGCAGAATACTCTATAAGAGTCTCAATTTCAGTCTTTCAGGGGCACTTCCATCGAGGATCAGTAATATATTCAAAATGGCGCTGAATCAAGGGAGTCGAGAGCCCAGCAACAGGGTCGGCTGAAGAAAGCTACAGGTGGCTGGACATACATAACCCTAACCCTTATAGCCTTACCGCCTTCCAAAAGCGGTTAGCTGAAATGGCGGAAATTTCGTAATTCAAAGGTCATTTTTCAGTTTCCGAATTTCGAAGCCTTGATGAAAATCTCCCATCCCTAGTACATACAAATTACAGTGGGAGTTAGATTGTAGGATCACTTCGCACTTTGTCAGCCCCCTTTTCGCATTTGGACCCTGGTCCACGCGTAAAACTTGTGCTGGTGAGTCCAGCGGCATCCAATCAAGCCACGTTGCGCGGTTGGCCCCCATTTCCCTTAGGGATCCTTTCAAGTTTCGACGGGCCTCCGCCGTTTTTTCAGATGCGCTTCGCACGGCCCGAACACGGGGTAGCAGTCAGATAAAGAGATGGGGAGAACTCGCTCCTCTACTTTTTTTCGGCTCAAAGCCTCGAGGCGGTGTGTCATCTCGGGTTCGAAATGATGCGCCGGTCCGCGCTGACCGGCGCCGGCTTGTCCCGCCGTTTCCTCACCCGCCAAACTCTCTTTGTCGCTCTCGCAATATGCGCTGTGTGGTTCCTGGGCACCCAGCTCCGTCGCGGGAGCGGGACGCGCCAGTGGTCGCCGCTAAGGGCGAACCCGCTGCCGCCGCCGCGGCGCATGCCGACACACAACGTATTGCCGCCGCTCCCGGATCCCGTGGCCTGTTACGGCCCCCGCGGTCTTCTGTTGGATCAAAGCCGCGATGACCAGCTGGAATCTCGGAAGCTCCAAGGCCGTAAGCGAACATTCCCTCCACCCCCCGTTCCTCACTCCAATGACATTCGCGCGTCACTGACCCGTCCATCCCGGCAGCAGCCTCCTATCAACCTTGGGCAGGCTCCTTCGAGGCCATCAGCCTCGACCGTACCGTCATGACAGCCGACCAGCGATACGGGCCGTACGGATTCGGCGAGGACCGGGAGGACTACCGGCGGCAAAAGGTCGAATGGAAGAGGCTCGACTGGGGCCGGTTACAGAACGAGTGCTTCGAGCGCAACCGCCACCGCTTTCCGTCCTCTGCGGCGCCGTTCGACGACCCGCGCGGCGCGGCGTCACCCCGCTTCGCCCCCCGCGGCTCCCGCAAACCCCGCCAGCCCGAGGTCCGCCATTGGCACGAATTCGAGCCGTCTCGGCGGACGGCCATCGTAATACGCACATGGCGCGGGTACGACTATAGGCCCGAGGACAAGTACTACCTCCGCTCGCTCATCACCGAGGCCGCGCTACGGTCGGGCGGCGAGTACCAAGTCATCTTGCTCGTGGATATGAAGGACTACGACGGCTATACCACCGATATTTGGGCCTCTGACGAGGCGTACCAGCAGGGACTCCGGGATGCCGGTATCCCCACCGAGTTCCAGTCCCTCGCTGTCCTGTGGGACGAGCGCCTTCTGAAGAGCTGGTACCCCCTGATTGAAGAGCATAAGACGCGCTTCCAGGTCTTCCAGCCGATGCAGCTCCTCGCCTTGCACTACCCGGAGTTTGACCACTTCTGGCAGTTCGAGATGGATATGCGCTTCCTGGGCGATGCGGGCAAGTACCTCGACCGGCTCACCGCCACAGCGCGCGCCGAGCCCCGTAAGCAGGCGCTCGAGCGGGCTAGTGTCTGGTATATGGCCGCTGAGATGGGCGGCGGCGATTTTGGCGAGTTGTTCCGGCAAGTCAACGAAACCAACCAGGGCGGCGCGTCCGTGTGGGGCCCTTTACGGGTACCTGAGCTTCCGCCCATCGGGCCCGACCCGCCCGTGGCCGACCCGCGCGAGGACGACTTCCGGTGGGGCGTCGGCGAGGAGGCCGACGTCATCACCCTGTCGTACTGCATGGACGCCACCGTCCCCAACAACGGCTGGCCCTTCCGCGACTTGATCGGCGGCCTCTCCTCGGGCCTCGCCACACCGCGCGTCTACTGCCCGCCCGCCGTCATGCGCGGCTCCCGCTCGCTCCTGCTCGCCATCCACCAGGCCCAGCTCGAGCGCGGCATCCATGTCCCCTCTGAGGCGACCCTGCCCAGCTTTGCGCTCTGGCACGGCCTCAAGTTGAGCTTCCCGCAGCAGCCCGTCTTCCACCGCGAGCAGAACGCCGACAGGGCATCCGTCGTCCAGGTCGAGAAGGAGCAGTGGTGGCGCGGCGGGCCTTTGCAGACCCCCGCGAGCCTATGGCCGGACCCTTCGGCGCCCTCGCCACAGGGCAGCCAGCTCACCTTTTGGTGGGAGGCGGAGTGGGCCAGGCACATCTTCTACGAGTGGATGGGCCAAAAGCTGCCGGGAAGCGACCCGGAGCCTCCGTGGCTCCTCGACGATTACGATGGGAAGTTGTGGGCGCCGAATATTGTAATGCATCCGGTTAAGCATGCGGAGACGGAGACGGCTTAACTGCGCGGTTGAAGGGGTCATTGGCGGATGGACTGGAACAGCGAACAGTTAGAGCACAGTTGTTTTGCATTGCGCAGGTATGACACGTACCTACATGTACAGTGAGGTGGTTGGTTCATTTCCCGCGTTGTCATCTGAAGAGGGAGCTACAGAGCGCGCCTTTCTGGTTATGTATCTGCATTTGTTTTCATGTACATAAATCTTGTACCATCTCAGAGTTGTAAAAGGGAAGAGGGAAAACTAACTTGAAGCGTATATACGTTCCATACCATCTTATTGTCAGAAAACGTCTTCAATAACTGATCCAAGCTTTACAGTTAGTTAGCAAGTTCAACCCAAAAAGATATAAACTACCAATTCTAGAAATACATTCTTGCCCTCTCTTTAATACATGAATCGTGGGATGTGAGGATACTTTGGCTACCCACTAGGGAGATGGAAGAGCCCGTTGGAATGGAATATCGATTCGCCTATCGAACTAGTTATATAGACATTGTATGTACTGTACATACTCTTCTGGCGGTGTCTGTTATCGTCAAAAGCTGGCGCCTCAGTCTCTACCTAGTATAGTGCACATTGTACGTTGAAAGCCTGGTGTTCAGATGCGGTGTGGTCACTGGTTAGGCGTCTAAGTGCCATCTGAGACATGGCGTAGGTAGGTAAGGTGCCCTGGTAGCGATCTCAGCTCACACTCAAGCTAGGGTCGCACGTGATTACATCTTGATCGCGTTAAGACCTCGACAAAGAACCAGCAAGATAGTACGGCAATAAGTCACAAGTGGACTTGGCGTGAAAACAATGGCTAAGTCATGCGGTACTACTCCATTGTTTAGGTCCCTTATATAGGCAGATACGCTGCACTGCGATGTTCTAGAATGTGGAACAGTTCTACCCTCTCAGCGAGACGGTAGCCAACAAGAAGGTATATATCTCTCTCTAGGCAGGTAGCTTAAGAGACTTGTAGAATGACTGGGCTGTGATGATAACCTCGCGAACTTGAAATCCACTGGCTGACTGATACACCTGGATCAACACACGTCTCAACCTTGCTTGGTGAGGAGAAGCGTGACCAAGAAGCGGTCAGTTTTATACTCGCCAGGCATTTGTATATATACAGTGATTCGAAGTGCCCCTATTCGCCGTCATGCACGGCCGTAGGTTGTTGACTGAAGACTCCGGCAGAAGACTCACCCCATACTGGAATATATCCACCACACGCACGCTCTCAAGCCTCAACCTCCATCTGTCTTGACAGGAGCTAGACCTGTGGATCGGTTAGACTGTATGCCGCTGAGTTCTGTCAACATGGAAGGCGACAGTAGTCAGAAAGGACCCTGGTTCTCCCAGGCAATGGCTGCGATTCTCAGAGCATTGAGACGTATGGCACATGTGTTACATCTGCCCATCTTCCAAGACGAGTCCTTTTCCATCGATGGTGAGAGTATAGCGAATTCGCCGGATGTTCGCGAGGCGGATGGTACTCGTTTCGATGCCAAGAAGTGCACCGTCGTTCAAGCTCATTGTCCTCCCCGACCAGCAAGCGCTCATTCCAGTGTTTCAATGGTTCGTATCCATGTTCCTACCTTACCCTGCTATCATCCCATCCACACCCTTGAAGTGCAGCGTCTAATCTTGAATAGTATTCCTGCACCAACCTTGAAAACTGGCGAATCCGGGCTAGCAGCGTCAGAGAGCAGGTTCGACACGCTCCACGGATGGATGTCCCACGGGGTATGGGAGAAAAGCGTCCGAAATACCCTCGCCGCCATAAAGGCCATGAGCATAACGAGGGAGTATATCGGCTCAGCGCTAGCCCTCCTTTTATAGAATTTCCCATCGTGAATAAGGCAGCCGTCAAACACTGGACCAGCGGGATGGAACCTGGTCCGGTGCGGGCCGTATACAACGATGGCGAGCGTGGAGTTTTCGATGTTATTTACCACGATCCAACGAGGCCGCGGAGGGAAGGAGCCAAAAACGACTCCTTCCAGATGGCAAGCTACCGTGACAGGGCTTACATGTCTGTTTTGCGATCTGTTCAGTAAGCTGTTCGCACAGTCGTGGGATGTGCCTAGGGTAGCAAGGCGCTGGGCGGCACTCGGGGTGAGCCGAGTTCGAGGAGGAGCTCAGGGGATCCAATGACGGGTCCGGAGTATCCAGGACAAGGACAGCGCGGGTACTTGAAAGGATCGATCGCCCTAGGTCCTAGGATAGCTTTACCTAAGAGCCTCTGCATCTTGGACATACCAAGATATTATGTAAAGATCTAGATTGAAGAATTTTTGAAGACGCCTAGCATCAACTTTGCGCACTGGAATCTGGGAGCATCTTGCCATGACGGTGATGTGTTGTCTCGAATTATTGCAGCGTCGTCTGTAAAGACTTCAAGAAGTTACATTGGAGACTGTGTGGATCAAGCTGACAGCGCACAGTGCGGGGCTCATGTGGCCTAAGCTCCTTCCAGCTGCAAACGACAGCGCGCGGCGAATTCAATGCAACAAAGCTTCAAATCGCACCTTGCATGTACGAAGCAATCGCATACCACAACCCTTCGCCGTCATCTCAAACCCAATCTACGGCCTGGCGTGGAGGGTCCAACTTCAACATCAACGTGACTTCTAGACTGATACCTACCATGTCTACTGGGCCGTGATAGCGCAACTGCTCGGTGCTTCTCTAGACATCCCGTTGCGTTTGCCTCGATGGAGGCCACTCCAAGAATTCGGCGCACGCCGCAAAACACCCAGCACACGTACGCGCCTTTCGTTTTCGTCACTTGCGCTTGGCATGGATTACTGCTGACAGTTGTCATTTTCGTGCTACAGATACTCATTAGGTCGCCGGACACATGATGTCAAGATATACCCTGTTCAATCACCCCAAGGAGCGACCATCCTCATTTACGGCCACGAAAATGGCATCACGGTTGTTTGGCGCGGTGGCCGAAGGCTCAAGCCAAAAAAGCAATCAGCTACGGACAAACGGAACGGTGCGAATTCTGACGATGCTGTCATGATCATTGACTCGGACGACGAGGGCGCGACAGCTGCAGCCACGCCGTATGTCGACAAGCCCGAGTTTGAAGACGGCCCGACCGCCGACGCCTCTTCCGTTCCCGAAATCATTCAAACCCTTGATCTTGCCTTAGGCAATGCCGCTCTACATGTTGCCGTGTTGCCAATGCCACCGTCCCCAGCGGAGGCAGCCTCCTGGAACGGCGCCCACATCCTCAGGACCAAGATCGTCTTCGCCGTATCATGTGCGAATACAGACGCCTACCTGGTTACTCTCCCCTTGACACCTCCTTCGCACGAGAGCAAGGCGAGACCCGAGTTGCGCCAGAATCTCTTGGCAGGAAATGCTGGTACGGGGGTGTGGGGAGAAACACTGACTTTGCTTGGTGGACAAAGCCGTCCTTGCGGTGGCCTCGCCATTACCCTAGTGAAGCACAAGCCGGGTTCCCGGAGCAGGTCGCTCGAGCGTACAGCAGCCCAAACGACACCGGTTACCCGTGCCATTGTTGCGGCGCACTCGAGAGAAGCAAGCGGCGTGCTCCGTCTCTGGGATGTCGCCTTGGACGCCAAGCCAGGAGTCACAAACCGGGTCGAACCATTTCAGACGGAATACCTCCCCTCACCGCTCACAAGCATTTCCTTCAACCCAGTCCACATTACCCAGCTCCTCACCGTATCCTCGCCACATGCCGTCCGCATCTATGATTACGCTGTCGCGGCCCTCCCCTCCGACGACACTTCCGAGGGCCCTTTCCCTACCCAGGGCTCTTGGCTTTTATCCCTCTACCCGCCCTTTACCCGCGGGCCATCCATGTCGACCGCGCGGAAGCCGATTGTGGCATCTGAATGGATTTCACATGGGGGAGCCGTTCTGACGCTCCTCGCGGATGGGCAGTGGGGCATTTGGGACATTGATGGTGTAAATCCGGCGGCCACAACGGGCGGTCTATTCAGCAAGGCAAGCGCCGGATTGCGCGGCTCGGCTATTACGTCGTTTTCTGTATCCGGCCACCTCGAAGGAACCAGCCCGCTTCGCAACCCTGCTAGCCAAAAGTTCCCTGCCGGGTCCGGCTCGGCTGGTGAATTGGTTCCCATGACGCCTCACACGCGGCGCGATGCTATCACCTCCACCATTACTGGCGGGTCAGAAAAGCTGGCAGCCGTGCGTGGCGGCATTGCGGTCGCAAAACTCCCAGCACAAGGAACAGGACTAGGGGAAGAAAGTGCCATTCTATGGCTTGGTGGCGCAGACCCCATTGTCTGCGTTATCCCGGTGATATCCCGGTTCTGGGACTCCCAGCTTCGCCGTGCCGCCGGCGGCGGTGTGAACCTCTGGAGCGGAGCACAGCCGACCCGCATGATCCGTCTTACAGATCTCCCGATGGGGCTCCTTGGCGAGCGATGCACTGGCGCAACTGGCATCCCTAAACCCAGCCGCAGCACCATGCCAGCGGCAGCGCAGTCAACGGCAAAGGAAAACGGTTCGAATCATGCAGAAGGCCTTCCCATTGAGGTGCTTCTGCTAGGTGAAAGCCGCGTTGTCATCGTGCACGAAAGCGAGGAGGCTAGCACGCTCACAACACGCTTGCTCGGCGCCCGGAAGCGAACCCACGCCGACTTTGGCTCGGCCAAGGCTATTCAGGTTTATCCGAAACCTGAGCAGCCCAACAGTGTCGCTTTCAACCTTAGCATCGCGCACCGCCCAAATAAAGGAGTCTTCCGGTCACATTCGCGCCCATCGGTCAAGGGCCTGTTTGACGAGGCCGCAGACGTCATCCCCTCAACTGAGCAAGCTGACGAGGCAGAGACGGCGCCGTCCAGTCAGCAAGGCCTCGTGTTCATCAATGATCTCAACTATGCTGCGGACCAACCAGACGACGAATTCGAGGTTGCCGGGCGCGATATTGAGCAAGAGTTGATGGATATCATGGAGATTGATCGCGAGCTGGAGCAGTTGGAGAGTGAGCGCGAACGGGGTACGAAACGGGTCTTTTTCGAGGAGGGCTAGGATACCAGCTCGGAGAAATGCGAGGAAGGGCTAGAAGAAGAGATTTGCACGGAGTATCAGTACAAAAGGCCCGGTGGACTACCGCAAGAAGCCCAAGAGCGAAGCAAGATCCGTCGCGTCTTGTTTGAGAGAGGAGCCTCTAACGCTGTCTGATCGTGTCAATGCCCGCGTGGATGGAGACAGCACTGCGACGGGACGACACGAGAGGCCGAAGAGGTTGTAAGATATTCAACAGCTGCTAACGCCAGCTACCATGAATGTTTAGGACCACGAAAATGCGGCATGATTTTGGTGGCCAGGGCCACACCTCCCTTTGTGAACCACTGTCAAACATTTTCTTTCCATTCATATAAGACTTCACGATTAAATTCCGCACGGCTTGGTGGAGCACAAGGCGAGATCCATCCTTGATCCAGCTCTGTATTCCGAGCGGTATATCAAATGCAGGCAACTCCCCCTGCTGAACGCTGGGTTTGGCCTCGTCGGCACCATCTGAGCTGCTGCTGCGGTAGCAAGCTGAAGATTGTATTTGACCAAATGCTCTGCCCCGGCTTCTACCTGTCTGCCTGTTGTCTTCGGGCAACAAGCAGATGGGGGCCTACGAAGCCGGGGGGTCGTGGTGTCGGCACATCCTTGGCTGGGAATGGAGGGGGCTTGGAACCACAAGCCATGGTAGCATGGGTAGGTGTCCGTTCCGCAATGGCGACAATGACAGGGCGCCCCGCCAACAATGGTGGTCTTGATGATCAATTTGATATCTTCGAAAACGATGCTCATAGCCGTCCCATGAAATCCTCAACGTTCCATACATATCATACAGCACTACCGCCCTTCTTCAACCCCCGTACTCATAGGTGAAAGCTTCCTCGTCCTATTCCCTCATTATGGCGTTACTGCCAGCATTCCCACCTTCCCACCCGCTGTCCTTCCCTCGCTCACTTACTCAAGGCCGCGGTCAAGTTAGGGTGAGAGCTTCTCCTTCACCTCCTCCTTGGCCTCTTTCGCCTTGCCCTCCACCTCGGCGGCAGCGCCCTTGGCCTTGCCCTCCACCTCCCCCGCCATCCCTTTAGCCTTGCCCGCCATCTCGCTCGCCTTGCCGGCCGCTTCCCCGCGCAGCTCGGCCGCCTTGCCCGTCACCTTGCCCGAGGAGACCTCTGAGGAAGCTTCCTTGAGCTTCTCGGCTACTGTGGCGGTGGAGGCATCTTTGAGCTTCTCGGCTACCGTGGCTGTTTGTGTGTATTTCATCGGTTAGCCTTTGTTTTTTCTCCAGACTTGTCGGTATTTTGTGTGAAGGAAAAGGTGAGGCTTACAGCCGATGTTGATGCCGTCAACGAGCTTGTCGCTGACCTTGCGGTCAACGCTCTTGAGCGCGTCCTTGGCTGACTCGACGGCCGACCTTTGGACGGGTGTGGATGTGGAGAAGGCGGCGCGCGGGAGCATGGAGGCGGCGGAGGAGGTCGTGCTGTTTGCCAGCGCCAGACGGCGGGCGGCAAGAACGGTTCGTTCTGTGATGAGTGACATGGTTTCTTGTTGGAGGTTGTGTGTGTTTCTGCTTTGGTTTCTGTGTTGATTCCCGCGTTACTGGTCGTTAGGAATTTGATTCCCCTGATTGTTGATTTGTCTTGATTGAGTGTCTGAGGATTGTATGGCAAGTTAAGTGGTGATTTTGAAGCTGAAACTGCTTTGAGATCATCGCAAGACTGAGCTCGCTCGATGATGTCATAGCTTGGTGATTGACCTGCTGGAAAGTAGCTGCACCCTGCATGGCAGTGCGCGCCCGGTTGCCCAATGACGTTCCGCTGCGGAGTGCTGGAACGGATACAAGTGACCTGCAAAGGGGATCGAACTGAAGCACATGTCAAGTTTACCATGTTTGCGAAGTAGTGGACACACTGCTTCAACTGGATGAAGAACCTCAAATGGGCCCAGGGGACCCCTTCCAACTCTCCCAGTCAGGATTCGGGGTCTTGATATTAGACTGCATGCATAGAGAGTACTAGCAAGTAGTATATAGCAGCATGGTTTGAAAGCCAAGTCGCTTTGAAATGAGTTGACAGTGTGAAGCCGAGCAAGCTCCGGAGTTGATGACACCTAACTATTCCATAGTACACACTCGCAGTCATCCCTAGTCTAACGTCAGAGCTTAAACGCCGAAACAACCCCACTAGAGGGTTAGAAGGGGTCTGACAGCCATATATTAAGCCGTCGTTCAGTCACAAACCCACCGTCACCCCCTAAACACAACGTCGCCTCGTCACCTCCCCTTGAAGACAGGCTTCCTCTTCTCGGCGAACGCTTTCAAGGCCTCATCCCTATCCTCCGTCCTGACAACTCGTTCATACATGCTATTCTCCACCGTCTCGCGAGGTTCCTCAACTGCCCTCAAAGCAGCCCTGACCGCGATGGGCCCGCCCTCTGAAATTTCGTTTGCCAGCCTGACGGCCTCGCTCAGCGCCGTGCGTCTTGCAAGGTCCAGTATCACCCTACCCCGCTCCTTCTCCTCCAGCGCGGCCCACTCCTTGGCCTGCTGCTCGCTCTCGGGCGCAATCTCAACCAGCCGGTCGGCAATGCCGAGGAAGTAGGCCTCGGGCGCCGACACGCGGCGGCCCGTGAGAATCAGGTCCCGCGCCCGGGGGATGCCGATCAGCGCCGGCAGCCGGTAGGTGCCGCCCGCGCCGGGTATGATGCCCAGGCGGGTCTCGGGCAGGCCGACGACGGCGTTGGAGGTCAGAACGCGGAAGTGCGTGGCCAGGGCGAGCTCCAGCCCCCCGCCTAGCGCGAGCGACGAGATAGCTGAGATGGTGGGGATCGGGAGCGCCGAGAGCGAGGTCAGCGTCGTGCGGAGGTTGAGCAGGAAGGCGGCGGTCCTGGTGGGTGGTGCGGTAAGTAAGAAGCCGAGACTACTGGTTACAGTAGGGTTGGACGGGGTGAAAAAAGGGAGGGAGAGCCGTACTCCTCCTGTGTAAAGGTCTTGCGCTCTTTGAGGTCTGCGCCGGCGCAGAAGGAAGAGTCGACCGCCGAAGCGACAATCAGCGCCCTCGTCGGCCCCTTCTGGTCGTCCCCTGCGACGCCGCCAAACCGCTTGTCCCACGAGGCGCGGGGCATCTCGTCCCCCGTTGCCGCATCGTACTGTGCATGGACGGCATCAATCTCTTGACGAAGGGCAGACAGCAAAGCACGAGAGATGGCATTGCGCGCCTTTGGGCGATTGAGTTCGAGGATGCGGATATGGCCCGAGTTGGGTGCGGGCAGTTCCGTTACCCGGATCAAGGGACCTGCGTCGGCTTCCGTCGAGTACCTTCTCGCATGTCGCACCGTCAATCGGCCGAATCTCAGGGCGATTGATGGGCTGACAGTCAAAGCAAATCTTGGAGCCATCTTGAAGAATGGCAATTAGGTGCCCCGGCAGCACAGTCCTTGCGGTCGGCGGCAGGACGAGCTGCTGAGGGTTTAGTGGAAGATGACGTCGTGTCGGGCTCGGCTATCACCGGCAGCGAACTGGCTCACTAACGGCTAAGGTACCTAGCTTATACCTATAGGAGGTTCGCGTTGCTTGGCCGATTCCCCTCCCCTCCCCAGGCTCCCCACGCTCCCCAAAACAAGTCTGCACTCGACCAAGATCGTTCAACCCATAACTTACGGTAAGCCACGAGCTGCAGTTGGCACAGGCTACCACCTGCTGCAGACAAGGGAAGTGATTTCGAGTGCAATTTGTAGACAGTCTTACGTATAATTAATCGTCTGAGGCCGGGCGTGATCTCAATCCTTACAGCTACTGTAGCCAACCAACCCCACACGCAGACATCCCGCCTAAGCAAAGCGCGCTAGCCTCGATCATGATCAGCCCGTTTCACCATCAGACAATCCTCTGGGACTGCAAAGATGCAATCAGCAGACATACATACGAGTATCCGTGGAGAGAATAGTATATTAGTGACTTTGTAAGAATTGGACAACGTTCCAAAAGTCCGGTACTCGCTCGTCCATCTTTCCGCATTTTGGCTAGCATACGGAGGTACTCTCTACGTTTCTCCCTCCCACTCTGAAACCACCCCCCTTCTCCCATCAGGCATGCCTTGCCAAATCGATTCGTCACGCTACGTAGTTTTTAGGCATGAGAGATCGACACAGCATATTTCCCGAACCTTTTGGTAATCGGAATTCGGAAGCGGCAGAAAGCTGGGTTCAGACTCCCCCTTCATAAAGTTACCAGGTAGAAGGAGAGGGTTGAGCGAAATGTCGGATAAATCTGGGTATTTCCCCCCTGCTTTTGATCAGACATGATTTGCTCACGGCAGATCGTTGATGGTCCTCCAAACAAACCGCGCTCCCAAACCGCTGGGAGAGGGGCAAAACTACATCACACCTGATTCTGAATGTACACCGTAACCTGTATTCTCACAAACCCACCGCCCTGTCCATGTGTTGTTCGTTCCCCGGTGCCAGTCGAGTCATGAGAACCCCTATTCTGTACGGCGGAACGCATGTTTCAGAGGGTGCCCCGTCCGGTCATCGCACATCGCAGAGGGAGGGCATTCGACGCAAGGGAAGCCATCAAGGTGCAAAACGACGCTCGTCAAAGCTACGGGGCTTCTCCCCATTGATATTTGTGACCCGTCTAAAACGCAACCTTATCCGCACATGAAGGTATATCCCGTCAGGGTCGTCAGTATTGATGTTAAAGGGTTTAGATAGGCAAAAGAGAGGACAGCGTAGCCAGGTGCGGCGCATCGCCCCGAGGGTCACAGCTAGATCTATGCCCTGGCGTGACAGCCAAACCGTACAAAGAACAGAGAAGACCCCAGGTAGGCTCGTCGCGTGATCGAACCTCCACCAATGACAAGACTGTAGAATATCCCGTCCCCCCAACGCCAATTATGCGGATGTCAAAATAAATACAGGCGAATCGTTTGTCGTCATCACTTGGGGGACTGCTCATGCATTGGTGACCTGGCATATTGTTAGTTTGATTGCTCAGTTGGGAATCCGAGAAGGGAAGAGGAGAGTCAGCTTACGCGGAGGATTTTCCTGGAGTAGTCTTGGTTGTCGGCGATGCTGCCGTCGCTCATCCTCCTATGGGCCATGACTGGATCCAACCGGGAATCCGTCATGGAAAGACCGCCACTGCTTCCCGGCGGCTTGCCCATGAATGCATTGACGGCGGCGTTGCGGCGGTGCTCGGCTTCGATTTCGTCGTTCCTCTTCTTGCGCATGTACAAGAAAACGCCAGCAGTGATGCCAGCGGCCACGACGACGCCCACAACTACGCCCGCGACAATGCCGGCCACGTTAGGGCCGCTGCTTGTCGCTACCTCACTCTCGGGAGGCTGCGTAACAACGACCGTGCTTTGGGACAGAGACACCACCGAGGTGGGCTCTGCGGTCTTCGTGGCGCTGCTCGAGGTAGATGTGCTCTGCTCGTTCGAGTACCTGACCGCCAAGGTCAGGCCGGTGTTGTAAATGGTCCAAAAGAATGAGCCGCCGCCTAGGTGAGTCAGCAGTTAGCAACATTCGCACAACCTCAAGGCACGTCCGCACCACTCACATGCTTCTTGGTCGTAGCCTGAGCACGGGGCGTTGCAGTTCTTGTCCTCAACCACGTCCTCCTTGGGTGGGTATGTGTTGCCGCACCAGCACTGGTTCCCGCCCATGGTGCCGGCCACCGAATAGCCTCCCACGTAACAGACCTTGGTGGCGCACTCGCCGATACTGTTGAACTCAATTGTCCTGTTCATTTTCAGTTCGCCGGATGACTTGAAGCAACCTTGTACTTTAGGACTGTTGAGTACAGGCGTTTCTGACGGCTGTTGCACTCCTTTCTCATAGCGCCCTAGGATGGTCTTTGTTCCCCTAATGTTGGGTATTATGTCGGGCAGGGCGTCCGCCGAAGCGAGGAGCGTCGCCGCGAGGAAACCAATGAACTTCATCGCGAGTCTGGTACAGGGACTCGATCGTCGACTTTATCGGACAAAGGCTGAGTGGTTGAGAAGTCTCGATGAGTTGAGACTTTGTTGTCGGGCTTCGCGTCGGCGATGACTCGTCCGTCGAGATTGTCGTTGTCGGGGTTTGTTGTTGGCCAGCAACCACAGAACCTTCCAAATGGGTCGCTGCGGCCAAACGCAGAAAGTGAAAAAGAGGGATCTCAATTGTCCCCCCCGAAATCGAAGTGAAAAACTTGAGCGAGTGGTTACGGTCGGAGTTGCTTAAGGCAGGTTTCTTTGGCCTTTTCTGCCTCTCCCTTTCTTGGCGAACGGGTTTTACTGTTGAGAGGACATTTCCTTGCTCTCACAACGACGTGGAGGGCAGGCGGCGAATTGAAAGCCGAAGAAACAGATATCCTCGACACGTCAAAGGTGGAGTGACGATGGATAGACAAAAATGCACACGATGGTTCAAATGAGTGACTGGTGGAGGGAACGACACTGGTTTTGTTGCAGAGACGAGGTTTGACGAGGGAGGGAGACGCTGGAACCCGCCAAAGTCTGCTCCCACGAGCACAAGGGGAAGTGGAAACGAAATTACGCTGGCACCTCGGAGCCATCTTCACCCCAGCACTGTCATCCGGCCGTTCCTGACCACACGGCTAGCAGGGCCGCCCCTGTCGATTTCCGGCTAGCCGCCCGCATTGGGTTAGCTGGTCAGGACATCCACACGTCCATTGGCCACAAAGTCGTGTACCCACATCAAGTCGCGGCTGGCGACAGATCATTGGCCCAACGAACCGGGGCAGTCAGGCACAAATTTTCAGGGGCCGCACTCATCCCGCCGATCTTTCGATGCCCTGCGGCCGGAGGAACAGAACGGCTCCGTTGTTTGCCACAGCTATCCAGTGTTATGATGCACAGGTACATTTCCACTGAAAGATGCCCGTTTTCTACCAAGGACAATCATCCGTTAACATCGCTCAAATTTGCCACGCGGTGCGCTCGGATTAAATAAGCTAGATTAACGATACGAATCTTTACACTGTGGGAGCGCTTGAAAGTACGTAGATTGTGTATTGTACCAATTCACTCCATACTGTATTACAACGTGTCACGGTATTGGCTGCGACTGCCACCTCAGGAAGAGAGCGGATACGCGTACTTGTAAGGTGAGGAGGGAAACTCACGGAGGAAGGACAACGACGCGTGTGATGCTAGGTGATGCGAGCATCACGCTACAATATATCTTTCTTTACTGTATGTACTTGTACCATGGACGGAAGAACGCCTTAAGTTACAAGAGCGAGAACTTTTGTCTCTCCCCGTCCCCGATCCTCCTGCAGCCTTGCAGCTGCAGGACGAAGCCGGGACTCCAAACCCAAAAGTTGAAACGTGAAACATTAGGGTGATCGTAAGAGTTGGGACACCCCGTCCCCGTCATCCCCCCATTTGAACAAGAGGCAGCCAGCACCGCTTGCGATGGTTTTTACACTCTCATGTTGTAGGTCGCCAACCTTTTTTGCCCCTGCCAGCCGGCAATCGACAGTGATGTTTATACAATAAGCATCTCGAGACGATGAGAATACGACCAGACGCATGGTGCATGGTAATCTGATGATTGCGCGGTCTCTTTATTCCCAGTGGGGCTGTGCAAAAGCAGCAATTTCGGTTCCGCAAACGGTTGGCCAACAAGCGGGACGGGATTTTGATATCTCAACACCACCCACTGAACATGTCCGCTGATGGGGGTGAATTGCAGAACCATTTAGGCCATCCTCGCCATCTTAAAAGACAGCCGAATCGACTTCGTGGTGCCGTGTTGGATTTCTATGGTAAGGTTTCCAGATGTGCCATTTCTGTTGTATCAGATTCAGCCCATACTTCGTATTGTACACTAATTCTTACCTTTCATCGCCGTAATCGCTGCTCCGTTTGTTGCTCCGGTTCCCGACCGTCCTGCACGCAACCGGCGAATACTGCAGTGGAATGCCGGGCTGACACGTATCTCGTGCATCTTATCTGTAGCCCAGTGGCACTTGAATGAGCAGTATCTGAAGCTGTCGTGCTAGGTGCTTCGGGAACCTCCGATTCGGCCCATGAAAGTGGTTCAGGGGTTCAAGTAATCGCACTTAGGGCTTCTCGATGCGAGTACTTGGTACAGCAGTCAGGAGACTGCGGCAAGGCGTCGTGATTTGATGTTTGATATTGGAGACCGGGGGTATAATAGCGTCACTTGACATCGCAACGTTATAATGTTTAGCATCGCCAGGTGATACCAACTCCCGTTCAGCTTATATATTCAGCCGTTTTCCGCTCGAAAATTGATCACACATGCTTAGTGGACGATTGAAATCTTGGATGACGATGACTATTGGTCTTATAAGGGTTGAGAAATCCGGGAGTCATAGACTGAGTTGCAGTATCTGATCATTCTGTTTTTATTCCAAATTCCAAGCTGTGTCAATAGCCTGATACAGGTAGGACCGTTCCCAAGAAGGTCTTCTCTTCAACCCTAAATAGCTGGACCCAGTACATCTTTTTTGGAATACACGCAAACTAAAGTGTATGCCATGGCCCTGTTATATCAATGATATGGGCATGGCCAAACATCGAGAATGAAGATATCCATCCCAGTTCCAGAAGTGGCAACAGGGCTGTGACACACACCCTTTACTCCTGATGATATATTTCGTTCTCCTTGCACTCCATTCGATGTTTCCTCCAGTCCTTCTTCTGGCATTCAGAAGAACAATAGACAACTTCCAAGCAGCGCGCGCACCTCTTCAGCTTGACACCCGTCTCCCCACCCTCGTTTTTGCCACAATTCCTACAAGATTTCAGCCGGGCCGCGGCACCTGCCGGACCCGTTATGATTGAATCAGCATCGACCAGCTCTCCCACAAGGTCAGACGCAAACACGGGGCTGATGGCCACGCGCGTGGCATATTTCGCCGCCGTGTCCCACTCGGGGAGTGTGATAAAGTCGGGTGGGAATTTGCCCTGGCCGCAGGAACACAGGACCTGCTCACCCATGCCCAGACCAACGGGGACCCTGCCGTGGCGTTTATATTCGCACGTGTCCGGATCGTGAACCCACGTGCGGCAGCGCTCGGCCAGCGCGGGAAGCGCCTTCTTCCAGAGGGCCAGCTCGGCGTCGTTGATGGTGAGGGTGCAGCACTCGAGGCTGTTGAGCAGCAAAAGGAAGACCTCCAGCTCGCCCGATTCAATCAAGGCCTTTGTCAAGGGAAGGATGGCCGCGTCCAGCACGACGGAGCCGTGCGGCCCATCGAGTCGGACCGCGCTCACAAACAGCAGCATGTGGATGCCCCCTTGCTGCGGGTGCTTCAAGGCGATCAAGCCCGTCTGGCCGCCTTGCAGACCTGCGGTGATCATGAAAATCGTAAAGAGAGATTCCTTGAAGTTGAGGCGGGCCGAGGAACTCAGCCTTGTGGAGGATCCCATGAACGCCTCCTCGCGGAGCCGACGCTCACGCGGAGTGAAGGTGAGGGAAGTGACGGTTCCAATGAAGCCGAGAGGGGACTTTTCATCTATGTCCAGGATTGGGAGACTGTCGAGGTTAAGGTGGGGTATGTTGATTGTCACCGGGATGCAAGAGGGCTTGACCAAGGTTGTCGGGAGCAAGAAGTCATCTAGAATAGGCGGCGACTCCAAAGGGCTCGCGAACGGCGCGACAACCTCGATGTAACAAGACTTGCGAGCAATGCGAGTCTTGCTGCCCTCCTTGACGACCGGGACTGGGAACGTGAGAGGCAGAGTGAGAATCCCCTGGCCAAAGACAACTTCAATGGTAAACGGAGATGACTGTTGCAGCTCAATCTTGGCTTTATCGGCCAATAGCTTCTTTCCCTGCTCCGATGTGATGTTGATGCGCCCTGTAATTGTGGTAATATGGTGTCCAGAGGCCTCGTCGAAGTCGGCGGAAAAAACCAACTCAGGAGCTGGTGCGTCCGGAGAAGCTTCCGGAGAAGCTTCCGGCTCGTCCCAAGCGATTGGCGGAGGAATTTGTCCGGGTCGCTGTTTAGTGAAAAGAACACGCCCATAACCGGCTCTTGGTTTGAAGCTTGCCCGGTGAATTGTGCAATCCTCACCCAGCAGCTCTTGAAACAGGGCGGTGCTAGATCCTGTGCGGACCACGCAAACACTTACATCCGCATAGTTATAGGTGTCTTCGATGACCACTGTCTCAACAACAAAAGAGACGATCATCTCCGATGATCCGCTCCAGCCCTCTTTATCCTCCTCTACAAGCAAGGCGAAGTTGTCCGCGGAAGAGAAACCCTGTTCAATAATCTTGCCGAAGGAAATCTGGACGTCTGAATATACCCTAGCCGTGGGAAGATTCCTGGCCACATGAACTTCGATCAAGATATCAGTAGATAGAGCCTTGTCTTGTACCGACTGCAGCATCCGTTTCCACCGATCCGCGGGGATAGCCAGGGTCACCGCAAGGACCGGTGGGACGTCATGCCAGTTGTAAAATTCCGGGTGCTCGTAGTCATCTTCAATCCAGGTATAGGTCACCGGTTTCTCCGCCTTCTTAGGAAGTTTCGGAGAGAGCCAGCTGAACACTTCTAAGATACGGGGAGTGTTCGGGTGAGTGGCTCCCCCCGGTTTCTTGTGGCTTGTCACAAGGTGTTCCACGAAATCCATTTTGACTCGCTGAAGATCCAGCTGTAGATGTTCGCCAACGGCTTTGAGCAAGGCAGCGAAGCTTCCTGGATGATAACACAGTAGTTCCGGTATGTCGTCCAAATTTGGCGTGTCCGGACGTCGAGACTCGAACACGCCGCTGTATATGCAGTAAAACCACAATGCAATGTCCGACTCCTTAGCAACAATTAGCTTGGCTGTCTTCGGCGGCGACCCCGGAATGTGTTTGACCAGCTTCCAGGCAGCACGAGAATCGAGACAGGGAAAAGAGACCGTCGTTTCCCTAGCGTTATAGTCGGCTGTTATCGCAGTCTTTGTAGCGAACGATGTTACATTGGCGTTAGTCCAATACTCGGCGGGCACTAGGCCGAGTAGCGTAGGAACCATATAAGTCCGCCAGATCAACTGGCCAATGGGCCGACCTGGGTCATCAGCCGCGCCGCGTACCTCATCGGTGTAGAGAGTCGCGAGCGGCGTATCTTTCAGCAAGGGCCGAGCGGAAACCAGCAGGTTCAATGTCCCTGTCTGATCTGCGAGGCTCGACGTGTCGATGACGTCGAACTGCTTGGGCGCTTTACCACTCGCACCGTACTCGCAATCTGCGAGTCTCAGCAAGTCAAAACTGAGCTGCCGTCGGAACTTGTTGGCGCATGTGTCGCCCTTCTTAAAGCAGTGCCACAGCGTGGAGCAGAGGGCAAAAGGATTGCTTGCAATGAAGCGAACCGTAGTTCGTGGTGCCGCGATCCGAAAGGCATTTGTCCACTGGCTAAACTGTAGTCTTGCCAGCTCGAACAGCTTGAGTTTGATGTCGGCGCTTTCGACCCTTTGTTCATCGAGGCGAAGGGGAGACAAATAAGTGAGCTTGGCAGCGGCGGCAGCCAGATGGAAACTCAGAAGAGCATCAGTTGGGAATCTGAGAAGCGAGGAACCTCGTAGCGGCACCGCAAATACGGGGTTCGGAGCCATCGAGGTTGTGCCTGAAGCAGGCAGAGGCCCTGTCAAACCCGTTTCCCAGTGCTGCTTGATGGCTTCATTAAGCTCGTCCGAAAGCGCTTCAGACAGAGGCGTGGTTGCTCGCGTGAAACTTGGCCGATGTTGCTTTTCCGCATCTGCGGCCCTTCTTGACCTCATTAAGCCCGCCTCGAATTGGGCCCTGTACCCAACCGTGGCTCGGCCACGGGCAGCATTCGCGTACTCGGCCCATACCCGACGAGTCAGAGAGAGGGTCGACTCATCGCCAAAACGCACCGTAGTGCCATAGGTGCTTGCGTGCCAGTCCTGCAGGGTCTGCGATAAGCCAACCAGCTTCCTTGCTTGAGCGTCAAGAAGCTGTAGATCTGTTTCGTCGAGGTAGAAATGATAGTAGACGTTCCAGAGCTGAGTGAGTGAAACTGCGTTGAGCCCATCCAGGATGAGGGTCAAGAGCAAGATGTTCCGCGCTACGTGCATGATTAGAGCTGCCTGATTGCGACTATAAATAGGGTATCAAGACTGGACTGAAGTCTTACCAATGACATTTTCGTCGGCATCGCAGGCGGTGAAATCGATAGTGCGTGCCGGAAAGCCTTGCTCAGCGTAGAGCGTGTACAGGATGTGTCGAAGATCTCGGCAACTCAGCAGCAGAATATCTGCGTCAACTCCCTGGGGCAGATCTTGAGTGAGGCAGACCGCCGGGGTCCCGCTGCCGGGAGAAAACGATGGCAACACTGTGATGGGTGTTGGCACGTCCATTCTGCCGTAAGCGTTAGGGTGAGGGGTGATAGCCTTCAGATTTGAGGGCTTCCAGTTGAGATTTGTGCCGAAATGATCGATGTATTGATGCGGTGAAGTTGTGAAAATTATAGGACAGCGGATCTACGCTAGTAGGTAGGGGACAGTAGGCAGGAGTGGGTGGGACTACATAACGACCGGTAACCTCTAGGCCGTCAAGTTCCGTGTGGCAAATCCATACGCAGCAAGATGCACGTGGTCGATGCGATCAAAGCTAAACGCAGCCAAAGGTCGTTCAATTATTGATGCGATATAGTGACGGGCGTGGATCCAAATCTCTGCGAGTTATCAGAGAATGGATACTAACGTCTATGCAACAAGGTATAAATTTTCGCTGCCCAAGTGAGAAAGACCAACCCGCTGTAACAACAAAAGAAGCTGCTTGACAGATGCAAGAGAACCAGCGACTTTGGGTTCCAATGGCACCAATCTATCCCACATACATCATGATCCCTCCATTCGAAGTTCAAGAGACAAAAGAAAAAGCCAAGGATCGCTTAGTTCTGCAAATCCTCCCCAGGAAATTCATTCGACCATCCGCTGCAAGTCATGCTCGCCCGAACCGCTATCCCAATTACCAAGTACGTACATACCCCGAAAACAATTCCCGGTCCCTAATTGTACACTAGCAGCAAAGCAACCTAGGAGTACACAAAGTCCATCGAAACCGTTCATGACCCTCGTAGAATACCAATAGTCCGATGGGCGCTGGGCGGGGAATCATCGGGTTCTCTGAGAGAGCGTCCACCTTCCGAGTCCTGCTAGTACCGCAGCCAGAGGCAGAAGTGGTAGCAAGGGGCAGGTGCCGTGAGACTCATGAGGTTCCCAGAGAAATGAAAAACAAAACATCGATGACAGGCCGAAAACCAACATTTTTGTCCCTCGAAATGTTGACAAGAAGCAGACCAACCGCATGGAGAACCGACAAACCGACAAGAATCAACCCGCTACCCACGAGTCAAAACATATGAATATGTCCAAGCCACGCCTAGGTCGTTCCAAAGAAGACGTCCTCTCCATTAGCAAACATGCTGACACCATCAAAGTCCTCATCGAACTTGCCCAGGAGCATGCTCTGGTCGAGCTGGACGAGCCCGTCGTGATCTGCGTACTGCAGGAGCATGTCATTCTCCAGGCCGCCAACACCACCCGCAGGCATCGCCGAGCTGCCGCATCCCATTCCGACTGAACTAGCCGCGGCCGCGGCGGCTGCTGCTGCGTGGGCGGCAACCGTGGTGCCCAACCCGATGCTGGCGTCCGAGATGCCGCTGCTGTTGGGATCCACGTCAAAGAACTGCGCGCTGCCGCTGCCGCTGCCGCTGCCGCTGGTCGGCGGGGGCGAGCTGCTCGTTGAGAGTTCGGGCGGCGTCCCCGGCAGGTGGGTGTAGTGGCTGGCGACGCTCCTGGCGGGTGAATCCGCCCTGCGCAGCGGCTGATCCGCGGTGCCGTCGCGGTAGTCCCCACCGCCTCCTCCTCCGCCACCATGTAGGGGCTGCGTGGTGCGGTCGCTTGCTGTTGCGGGCCGCGAGGCCGAGGACAAGTGCGTGGTGGCATGCGAGGCGTGGCTGTAGTTGCTCATGGCCGAGGGCGATGCGACGTGGTTTGCGCCGGGGGATAAGGCGGTGCCGAAGACATCGGCCATGCTCTCGCTGATTGTGGGCATGGGCGCGCTCGAGACGCCAACGAGAGCGCTTGGATTCATCGTTGCTGCCGCCGACGTAGTCGGGATGGAGGACATGGCCACGTCCATGATGTCGATGTCGGCGAACTGGTCCTCGTCCATGAGCCCGTCGAATTCGTTATTGCCGGGCGAGTTCGCGGCCGAGCTGTCTGAACACCCGGACTGGCTGCTCACCGAGCTGACTGAGTCGAGCCTGTTCTTGCGCCTCGTCCGCTCGCTCTTCTCGAGGCGCCCTTCCATGTCCGGTCGGACTTTCTTCGGCCGCCCGCGTTTCACCACTTTCCGCACGATGCCGTCGAAGGCGCCGATGCACATGCCTCGTTGACGGTGGCGCGTCAGGGCGTCGTGGCGCGCAAAGCGGTTGCCGCAGTCGCACGGGTACGGCTTGATGCCTGTGTGGATTTTGGCATGCCGCTTGAGGTCGTGTTGGCGGACAAAGCACTTTTTACATGTTGGACATTGGTATTGGCGGTCGTTCAGATGGGTTTGGACGTGGCTCTTGATGTTCTCCTTGCGCCCGAAGCGCTTGTGGCAGTTTTCGTACAGGCACTCCCACTTTCCGTCTGACGGGTCCGGTCCTCGGATGAAGGCGGCAATGTCATCGAGAGTCACGCCGGTCTCGGTCTTGGTCTCCTCGATATTGATGTCCGCGATACTAGCCGCGCTGGTGATGGACGCTATAGACTCCGCCCGGCGATGGGGCGAGCTGCGGCGTGATGGGGTCTTGCTGCCTGGGCTTGGTAAACCATGGTGAATGAGAGTGTGCTGAGACTCAGGATCTATCGGGGCATGGAAATCTGGCTTGTTGCTGAAGGGATCACGCTGTTGAGCAAATGCCTGCGGGATCGGAGCCTGGCAAGCCCCATTGAAAGCTCGTTCGATCTTGACGAACTCATCGCTGACGTTGCGCATGTTCATGAATTCCGGCGACCGGTGGTTCTGGTCCATCAGCGGCATGGGTATGGTGCCTGCACGAGGCGGCGTTTGGACCATGCCCTCCGCTTGCTGCCTCAAGTCCTGGAAAACACCAGAGTTGCGATTACTATTCTTGTTGGCGCGGCTAGGCTTGATCGTCTCTTCCATCGACTCGTCGTAGTTCTCAGAAAATCTATTCGTGGGCTGAAGGGGAGTCGGCTCGGTCTTGATGAATTGCTGATGAGGTGTGCCCACCGGAGTTTGAGGGAAACATCCTGTTTCATGGTCGTCAGTGTACCAACTCATTGGCGCGCGACAGAGGCTCAGATGCATCACAACGTACCGTTCATCATCTGGTTAGTGGGTGTGCACGGTCTCTGGGACGAGGTGTGAACTCCGCCTCCCAAAGCCTCGAATCTGGCGACCTTTTCCATGATGCTGCCACTTATCCTCCGCGATGCCCGGCGTGGTTGTGTGCTCGCCGTCTCGCTTTCCGAGATCCACCCCTGGGCCGGGCTTGCCGGACATGAATCTGGGAAGGTGATAAATGTGGGCGTGGATAGGGCACTGTCGGTGCCGAAGAACTCGAAGTCTCCCCCTGGGTCCAGGCCGGTATTGTTCGTGAAGCTTGGGGGATTCTTGGTGATGTCGATGCCCCCTAGGTAGGCGTCGAAGGAGAAGGCCGTCAAGTCTGCCATCCGCCCTCTGCTTGGGGATGCGTCCATGAAGCGCTGACTTTGGGCGGTGACATGGGGCGACAGAAGGAAAGCCTCATTGTCATCTGTGAATGTGGGCTGGCTGGGGCCCGGGCGTGCTGTGCGTTGCTGCTGCGCTTCTTGCAGTACATGCTGTTGTGTCGTTGCTAATCCTGGGTTAGTGGTCGAAGTACCTACCGTTGTGTAGTCCTGCCGTGTTGTTGTGGTCGCGGTTGTCGAAGCGAGCTGCTGTCGCCGCGTGTCGAGGCTGAGGCCCCGTCGGTGTGCCACATGCGACCGTTGCTGCTGGAAACTGGGCAGGGGCGCAATCTTTACTACCTCAAACGCCGAAGGCGTCGAGTTCTGCCGCCGATGCTGGTGTCGGGGCGTGCGCGGGTGAAGCCTGCTGGAAGGGGGCGGATTGGACAGCATTGATAATGCAGAGTCGAGTTCGGAAGAGTGAGGATTGTTTGTCGTCGATGCGCCAGTTGTCGCACTCCAAGAGCGCTGGTCGATGCGGTTCCGATACTGCACCTCAGCATCTCAGTCAGTTTCACCATCCTCCGTCGCCTTGGTATGGACCCAGCGCACCTCACGCAGCACAAGCCAGGCAGCCGGGCGAGGCGAGTCGCGTAGTTGCGCTCAGTCGATGTAGTCTTTGGGGCTATCTAAGAGCTGGATTTATTGTGGCTGGATGCCCTCTTCAGGCGAAAGTCTGGCCGAGAGCAGTCTCTGCCTAGGAGATGGTCCCCCCGATGCGAGGTTTTGGTGGTGTAGTTGTTACTCGTAAAAGGTTCTGGAGCCCGGATGAGCAATGCAAATGCCAGGCGCTGTCTCCAACAAAAGTATGGAGAATGGAGTCAGTTGCTCTGCTTCCATGCCAGAACGCTGAAACGACCCTGATCGTTGCAGCCGTCTTTGTTTTCTTCAACTGCCAAGGCGGTTGCCAACGGCAACCATTCAATTCCGCCCCTGGCTCGTCCCATTGGCGTCTGTGATTGGGCGCTTGTAGGGCTTGGCGGACAACCAGAATGGCCCACCCAACCAGAACCGTTGGTTTCTCGCGTCACTGATTGCGATTTCCGCCTGAGCGCGTTGCTGCGCTGCAAACCGCTTGCCAGGACTGACGCGAGTTCGAGATGACTCGACTCCTCAGGTCTCGCTTCTGGTTTTCTCATTGCCGCCCGCTCTAGTTCTAATTATCTCAATCTTACGGCTATCCTAGATCAAACCTGCTAAACAGCTAAACTCTCTTATTGCTCGGCACTGCACTCCATTCATTTGCATTCGGTCCCCTACCGTCCCCTTCCTTTCACTGCGGGTCGTCTGAACCAGTCGTGTCCATTCATTTCTATTGGGGAGCAGTCGTGGATTGCGATCTTTTACCGCCGCTTTTGTCCCCGACCATTTTGCTCTTTGCCGATTTGCTGCCATTTATTTCTCGTCAGACAGCTGGTGACTCGGCGACTGGAAGCCATTGGGTTTTGTTCCAATATCTCAAAACAAGATGAAGTCGTCCTGCTCCTGGTGCAACACCAAGTGGCATAAGTGCCTCTGGGCCGTCCTTCCTTTGGTCAGCCTGGCACCTTCGAATATTACGGCAGTCCAGATTGATGCATCTGTCTCTCAAAAGATCATGTGATCCATGATAACTTTTTCTGAGGAGGAACAACGGCCTTTCTCGATGGCAGCATCGATGCATCAAGAAATGGTCCTGCATCTTTATCTCGAAAGCGAACTTCGCTCGTTGACCCCGAACTGACTAACCGGTCACACTCCTCATGTGCTTGAACCAAGCCCGTTGGCCGAGTGTGAAGATTTTCAAGGACGAGATATAAGAGGACGCGGGAGGCACGAAGCAATGCGGTGATGTGGAAAAGTCAGATTGGCAGACGGTGCAAAATGGGTGATGCGGACCTAGCGTATCCGGAGCAGCCACCCCCGCGTCCGGCGGCGAAAGAAGAGTCCGGGCAGAGCAAGAGGCCCCGCAGCTGAGAGTTCAGCCGTTGGCCGGCCGGAGGGATGCCGAGAAATCTTGATCTCGGTTTTGGCCCAGCAGGAGCCAAGATCGAGGGAATGAACACGCACGAGTGGAACTCGTGGATTCGAGGCGGCGAGGCATGTCACGACGGCGCAGGTGATGGCAACTCGGTGGTTGCCCGAGTTTGGGACGACTCGGTCCTGCTAATCAGGATTAAGGGGCTGAGCGGCTATAACCGACCAAAGACCACGTCGGGCATCGGCTGGGTTGATGAGGCCGATGCCCGTCCTGAGATATTGCGGCGCCAGTTGGCAGTCCGCCATCGGGCCTCGGGAATAGGCAGGACCCGAACAACACGGAAATACGGCGAGTGAGCTTGTTTTGCTACCGACGGCAGGCGATTGACCGGCTCGGATCCGAGATGAAGATTCAGCTTGACTCAGGAGGGGTGTTCCAATGGCTCCGGACGGGCAAGCGGTGCCACCGAAGCGGATCAAATCGGCACCGTGTCCTCTGACTTTTCTCCAAAATTTGCTTCTCTCATTCCAGCAAGGTACTGTACGGACATGCGCCGCTTGTCCTGCTTCCCGAATTAGCCATCGGCTCTCAAGTTCATCCCTGGGTGTCGGGAGCAACAACCCCTAGCTACACCACGTTAGGTACTATTCCACACTTGTACTCCGGCAACCCTGAACGCCACTCGTGGGGTGGCGTTGGATGGCATGCATCCAAACCATCTTCCCTCAAAGCTGCGAGCGTTTAGGTTATTACGCGCGGCTCGCGCTCAGCAGGTGACGGACTTGGGGCGGGGGATCCCGGCGCCCCGCAGAGAGAGCTCGGTCATTCCCCCCTCAACTCCGATAACCATGGCCCCGGAGTACCGCAACGTTGCAACTCCTCAACTTCGGGCCCGACAACGCTGCTGAAGCTGATAAATTTATCCAGCCTGATGTTACAAGAATAAAAGATGGGCTGGATTCCTGTTCTTGAGCATTTCTTTCCTGTTGCTCCTCTTTTCTTCAACAGTAAATAGGGCGCGTCGCTTGCTTTTCATACAAAGACCGGACGTACATAGATATCTTATTGCCAGCCCCGAATCTTCAACCCTATCAGCCCTTGCTCAAAATGGTCCTCGCAGTACCCACCGCCAGCCTAGAGGGGAAGGTCGCCCTGGTAACCGGCGCCGGCCGCGGCATCGGCAAGGGCGTTGCCCTGGAGCTCGCGCGCCGTGGCGCTTCTGTGGTGGTCAACTATGTTTCGTCAGTGGGGCCTGCTCAGGAGGTGGTTAAGGAGATCGAGTCGTACAACAACGGCGCGCGGGCGATCGCCATCCAGGCCGATGTCTCCAAGGTGTCCGAGATCAACCGGCTCTTTGCCGAGGCGAAGCAAGCGTTCGGTCGTCTCGACATTGTCATGTCCAACAGCGGTACGGAGTCGTGGGATAAGACGGAAGAGATCACCGAGGAGAAGTACGACCATGTCTTTAACCTCAACGCGCGAGCCCAGTTCTTTGTCGGGCAGGCCGCCTTCAAGAACCTGGAGAACAACGGGCGTCTGATCCTCATGACGAGCATTGCCGCCGGTCTGATGGGTGTCAAAAACCACGCGCTGTATAACAGCAGCAAAATGGCCGTTATCGGCATGGTCAAGGCCTTCGCCACGGACTTTGGTGTCAGGGGGATCACGGTGAACGGCGTCGCGCCCGGCGGTATCAAGAGTGACATGTTTACGCAGAATGCGTGGCACTATATCCCGGGGGGTTCCCCTGACATGCCGGCGGAGACGATCGAGAAGCTCATGGCGGACCACTGCCCTCTCGGGCGGTGTGCCGTGCCTGAGGACGTTGCGCGCGTCGTTGCCTTCTTGGCGAGCGAGGATGGCGGTTGGGTCAATGGTACGTTCCCCTTTCCTGGTTCTAGACTTTCCAGTTTGAGTCCTCATGCTAACCGTGTTGTAGGTCAAGTCATTACTATTTCTGGTGGTTCTTCGCAGTAGTTTTGCGTTCACCTCCTGTTAGCGTGTCTGGAGTCACATGGTTGGATTGTGAAGGCATAGCCACATATCTCGAACATAGAAGCATTGAATGATAACGGGATAGCCCGGTACGATCCGGATCTGGTGCTCATCTTCCTCTCCCATGGCTCAAACTCCACGCCTCGAATCTTCCTCTACTTAGTTCAACACTGGCTGCTTCATGAATGTGTCAATGGTCTGCGTCCTCACATCGCGGTCGCCGACATCTCTGAATTGGAGCCAACCGTAACCACCCTTTCAACACATCACGCAAACATTAAATTTTGTTTATTACTCATTACCAGTTACCAGAACAAGCTAACTACCTTACCCACATAAACAATCTATGTTTTCATCTTCCCAGGCAAAAAGATCCGTCCCAAACTCCAATCCAATTTTGATACCGGCCCCCGCTGAAGCCAGGCCCTTCCAAGACCCGTGCCAACGTGAACCCAACATGATTACTTCCTGCGCGACCTGACGGTATTCATCCTCTCCAAAAGCCCCAGATCCCACCACCCCTCAATGATGCCCCACACGGTCCTGCGTTTGGGCTTCGCGGCGGTCGCGGCCGGCGGCTCTTCCCCTCCTACATTAACCATCTCCGGGCTCTTGCTCGGGGTGGTGGTGGTGGTGGTAGTAGACGAAGCCGACATGGCCGCCATCTCGATAGCCGCGCTCTTCCCCTCGAGCAGATAGTCACTCCTCGGCGGGTGGACCACCACGATGGGCGGGGGCACGGGCTTCCGCTTCCGCCGCTTGCTTCCGGGCATCAGGCCCAAGCTCAAGCCCCGGAGCAAGGTGGGTGACAGAGGTGAGCGGAGGATTAGGCCCGGGACGCGTTTGTGCTCGTCGGGGATTACGTCGTCGCTGGGAGAGCTGGGCGACTCCGTTGATGGGGTGTTGTCTGTTGGTGCAGGTGATTTTTCTTTGGGCGTGAGGCTGGTTGGGTTGCTGCTGCGAGGTACGGAAGCGGGAAGAGCAGGCGGCGCGCGGGACAAGAGAGGCGAGATCCCGTCCTGCTCGGTCTCATCTGTCGGTGAACCGGGGATGGTGGGCATTGTGGCCCGGGTCTTCTCCCGCATGTTCCGTGGCGGTGGGGGCGGCCGGAGCCCACCAGCACGCGGCTGCGGCGGGCTACCGGCGTCGCTGTAGGTCGATGAGGCGTCCGAGTCGTAGCTGGAGCGGGGCAGGGAGAGACGCGGGTTGCTGAGGCGGAGCCGGTGGGCCCCGCGGTCACGGATGGGCGCCAGCGGGGGAGGCGGAAAGCGAGGGGGAGCAGCAACGGCGTCGGCAACGGTCTGAGCGCCAAGGGGCGCGTTGAGCTCCCATGGCTGCTTCTTCGGCTTGGCCATGCTTCCCCCGAAGGCGCCCGCGCGTCCCTAACCTTCGATGTCCTTGGGGGTGGCGTTGTCCCGACGAATGCGCTTCCACAGAAATACGCAGACCAGCGCTGAGAAGGCGAAGAGCACGCACAGGGTGATGGAAAGACCCCAGACCGCTTTAATCTCGTAGCACACTGGCCGGTCGAGCGTGACAAAGGTCGAGTAGGGGATGGTTTTGGTGAGGGTTGTTGTCCGGAACACGTGGGCGGCTGCCGAGAAAAGAGTGTGCACTTCGGCGTCGGGTGCCACTGGGACGAGTTCGCAGTTGAGCTTCGAAAGGGGCTTGCCGATCAACGAGGCCACAACGATAGCGGCGACGAGGAAGAGGCCATCGACGCCACCGGTCATGAGCAATGGCAGCATGTTGTCATAGTAAAGAATGTATGTGATGACGACATATATCACTGCTAGGACGGCCTTGGATTAGGTTAGAATGGTGGTTCAAGAGGTGACGGCGTGTTAAGGGGGCATACCACTGTGAGAGTGCCAATAAGCTCTGATGGAGGGTTGTGCTCGGCGGCGCCAATCTCGCTGATGAAATTGGCACAGAGGCCAATGACAGCAATGAGGGACACTAACTGGCATGCCCGCATAATGCTGAAGGTTGCGCCCAAGGCGCCCAGCTGCGGTGCTTGGAACCGCATCTTGAAGGGCCCGTTTGCCTCGAAATCAGTGATGAGCTCTAGCGAGGGCCGCTCCTTGTTCGCTGTCCGCAGGGGAAAGCGCGGTTTCGGGAATGGAACCGTTGGGGGAGGCGGGAAGGAAGTGTTGACGGGAATGTTGGGCAACGTGTAAGGGCGTCGTAAGGAGAGAGGCTGATATCGTCAGGCTCGATCAAGTCGACGGCCTGGCGGAAACAGATATGGGAAATTTGGGACAGATCAACTGCCTAGAAAGATGGAGCCCAAGAAAGTAGTGGATAGATGAGCCAGAAAGTCCTTTAAGGGAACCTGATGAGAAGCTCAGGGTAGCTAAGAGACCGGACGGGAGTTCGAGGAACGTGGAAGACCAAGGAAAAGAAACCCTGTAGAGAGATCACACACAAGGAAAAGAGAAGAGAGGAAAAACCCAGGAAAAAGGAAAGAGAAAAAGGAAAAACAACCAAGGAAATGGCGTGTTTGACAAATTGTTCTGTCGAAAGAACATCTTGATCGGAAGGTGAGGCCGCGGAACTGCATCTTTTATGTTGAGACTCGCAAAAAGCTCAAGCCAGAATCTGATCGATGCCGTTCCCTGCCTTCCCATCCATGACAATCCCAAAACAAGCGCGTCTTCGATATTAGCGCCTGATGAACCATTTGCATAACATGGCAGACGCAACGCGATTGAATGAGGCACTCATCCGTTCGAGACGATGGCGGGAGTCAGTAAGCGCTGAGCAGGCCAATCGGGAGACAAGAGGGGTCACTGTCGAGGGGTGGTGCGAGCCCCACCTGGCGGGCGGCAGTCTGCAATCGCCCAGCCCAACCAAGCATTTGGGGCAGCTGTCCGATCGACCTGTTCCTTGCGGCTACGGTCTTGATTGGCTCAGGGCTAAAGGTTCTGCGACTGGGTCCCGGAAGTCTGGAATTGCACGGATCGAAGCTTGCGCGACGTTTATGTTTGCATGTTTTGAGACCTTGTGGAATGGTCGCGAGCTGGGTCGTTGTCTGTTGACCGGGGCTGCCATCCCCAGCCTTACCAGGTATCATCTTAGGTACGGTTTCCGCTCATGGTGGGTTCCCGCTCACCCAGCCACTTCCGACCCTGGTAAGCCTCAACAGAATGTGGCAATCTGGTGAGGTGGCCTATCTCGGCGGGCCAAGCTCATCCAGCCACATATGGATGTGGCTTGCCGTTGTCAGGTGTGGCGGTGTGAGCGGAAACCTTACTCAACATGGTACAGTACTGCAGGTGCACCTACTGCAGGTAAGGTATCGAACATGAGCCTGGAGCATTTCTAGTTGGCTTCAAAGCAGACTTCGCCGGCATTTCACGTCGATTGCTGACATTGGGCACAGTGACAAGATGCTGGCAAGCACGCTGTGGCTTTGGTACGGTACTTTGAGAGGTGCTGGCATCTGTTAATGTAGCCTCGATCTTTTGTATGCAAAAATCATCCTCTCGACTACCGCTTTTAACACAACCATGGGCCCAGGCTTGTACTTCCAAGTCGTATGTACTGTACCACCTTCCTTGGGGACGATTTTGCGTGCAACAACACTGCACCTCTGCTTCATCCGTCATCACTGATGTCTAATGCAACCAGTACTTCCTCTATCTCCCACTTCACACAATATGGGCCGTCTCGCGACTTTGGTCGGATGTTCTGAGAATCATCATCTCATCAATTGCTGGCAAGCACTTGACTCTCAGAGATAAACGTAGCAAAGAGGCGATCCGCTAACGGTGTTCATCAGCTCCTTAATCTTGATCGGGCCGGCCAAAGGCGACAAGTCGATGATGTCGTCAACCGTCGTATTTGCGCTGGGAATGAGATCGAGCATAAAGTTTGTTCCGAAAACACCCTGGGTACAAAACGCAGTTACGCAGGCCAGGTTAGCCCTAGGTAACACTTAGCGAAAAGCGGCATCAAATACCTGGCGGTTCTCAAAGTCCAACATCTGCCAGATCCAGTAGACGCGGTCGATCTGGCTGTGGTGCAAGTAAAACGCAGGGTCACCGGGAGAGATGAAAGGGTCTGAACCAGGATCACCGCCAATGGCAAAATGGCCGCCTCCGTGAACTCCCAGTGAGCCCGGGACAAACCGGGGGTCGCCTTCCTAGATGTGGCAAGCCGGTTAGGACGGCCATACGAAGGGTTACTTTTGGGGAGGAGAGTGACATACCATGGTGGTTTGGAAAGACTGGATCGTCTGGGACTGCACGATCAAGTCTGTGGTATTCCTGAAGCTGGCGAATCTTTTGATGGAATCAGCGTTCATGTCCCGCTTCAGACAACGAGAGTTGTCTGCTGTTGGGTCCGGCTGCGAGATGGGTCCGAGGCGGATGGTAAAGTTGGCAAAGGGGCCGGCAAAGACGCAACCACCCCCGGTGCCGGGAGCTAGGACGATGGGTTCCGTTGCACCAGGGAAGAGGATCTCCAATCCAGGGTGCGGGACGAATTCACCGTCACTGCCTAGAGACGTGTCTGATCCATCAAATACTGGCGAGTCGCGCGGTGACTCAGCGTCGAATCCCCAGTCCCAGTAAGGGAGAGTACCTGTTGGTGGTGTCAGGGTAAGTCCGAGGCCGTGGGAAGAGCCAGGGGGTGGAAAGATGTATACCTCTGTAGCCACATGCCTGCAGCTTTTGCTCGTAGACGTGGATGAAGTACCGATGCCAAGTGAGAAAGTTGCCCTGCGTTGCAGACGGTGAGTCTGGGTCATGTACAGGTAGCGTTGGCACAACTCAAGAGACGTGCCCAGCCTTACCGTGTTATGGATAAACATGGTCTGATTCATGTGCACAAAGACGAAATCGTCAAACAGCGATTTGGCTCCCGCAGCCTGTCCTGGCGCCAGGATGCTGAGGGATGATGCGAGGCATTTGACAGCCGCAATGAACTCCCTGCGCTGGCTTTTGGAAAGGGTTCTCCTAAGTAGGTAGGCCATGGGTTAGTAGCAGCTTTCATTCCAATCTAGAGACTTACCAGGACGTACCATTCACGGCGGACTTTGACATTGCTCGGATTGCATGACTGGCCGAACTTGGACGCCGAGTTCACGAGTGCAATCCCGTTGAGCCCGGTTACGGCCAACCCTGAGTCTATGGCAAACTGCTCGAATTGGGGTATGCTGATGGCATGTATGCCTAGCACCGTGGTCAGGCAGACCGTGAATACCTGACGAAGCATCATTGTCGAGGACGAGAGTGCAGCTTGCCGGGGAATCTGCTGCAGCAGCAGGCAACTCTACCTGTATCTGGCTGGCGCACCATCTGACTCTTATACGCGGCGTAACAGGGAACCTCAGAAATAATGATCGGGCCGGGCCGCAGGGCCTACTGCCCACCAACAGACTCCGGGTGCTCAGATACCACTAGAAGGAAGTTACGGGCATACCTACCTATTTGAATAAAATTTTACCCATCCAGGAACGGGCCTGGCTGTAAGAGAAACCATGATAGGCGGAAGAAATCTCTTAGTACGTGAGGCCTGCAGGCTTACTGCATCAGTGCAGCCGCAGAGCACACCTACATTGAGGCGAGCCGTTGTTGGGAGCACAGAGAAAACAAGGACCAACAAGGACCATAGACCGTCTTGATGCCAAGGATAGCTTACAGTAGCTACTAGGTGCATATGTAAGGTAGACGATAGACAGCACGTTGGAACGAGGCTGCATGGGGCAAATTTCATGATCAGGGCGAGCTTTACCTTCTTGTCCTACATAGCAATGATAGCATCAATGTACCCTTGGGGCGTAGGCTAGTTAGGTTGATAGTTGTTGGTTCAATAGGTGCATCGAACCCTCGACGGGGCTGGGCCCCCTTTGACTTGTTTCGTTTCCCCTCGACTCCTCACGTGGTGGTCATCTGCATGTACTTATTGTACTATTGCTGCCCGGAAGCGTCGTTCCGGCTGCCTGGCTGTACTGTACCTGGCTTTTCTTCTCGCCTCATTCGTAACTTCAGCTGAGCCCGAGGCGATAGCGAAACGTGGGACAGTCCCGGGTGGGGGACCTGAATCCTAGGTTAGGTACCAGCAGCAACGGTTATTGGGTAGGATAGTACGTGTATTATGTAGTCGTACCCGGGAGCGGTCCACAAAAACGGCCGCTTCTGACCCGCGTACCCGGTTGATGTCTTGATGAGGCTCGGTGTCCGAACGGTTTACTTGACAGAGGATGCATGTTTCCGTTACATTGATTACCAAACTGAGTTTTCACGCAGTTGGGGGCTACGTAGTAGTGGTTACTGGTGTTGGTTCAAAGTCTTCAGCCAAGAGGCCCCAAGACGTCTAGAACCATGGTTTGGCAATGCACTATCGGTAGGTTGGTGCAGTCTCTCAATCCCAATGTAACAACACCTACCTAGGGCTAGTAAGACCCTTACATGGCCTTTTGCAGCAACTCCTCTCAAGACTGGACTTGCGGAGTGTAGTACATTACTCCGATGATCAACATGCCGCCTAGCCGCAGAAACAGCACATCTACCCGTAGTTGCCCTGCATTGGACATGAGAACGGTCCTGGTAAGCACACCTCCCGCCCCCTTTTTGCGCTTGGTGTGCGTCCACTTCGCAGATACGAGGTAGTACGCCTTGATCCAATAGACCTGAAGATCCGGCACCACTGCAGATAATCAATACTACTTACTAGTCGCTTACAGCACACTGAGCTTGGTTCTTGCTGCCGTCCCCATGTGTAGGTGCTTGGCTCCCGAGTCAGATGCCTGGATGTGGAATGAGTTGGTTGTCTCAAAAAGCGACGCCGGCACCAACGGTGCTTGACTCTGGTGTGCTGGTACCTTGCATAGAGCCTCAAATAGTGTACCTACATGTAGTGTAGGTAGGTGGGATGCATAGGACTGAGGAGCGCGGCGGGACGAGCCGGACTGCCGGGTAGGGTTGACTTAGGGGTCATTGGGACCCAAGGGATTGCCGCAAGGCAAGCCATTCGTATCTTCAGTCCTCAGAGTTACTCCTTGTCGTCCAGCTGACATTCCACCGGCTCAGAATGCTACTAACATCGCTGTCCAAGCCCTTTATATTTGAGCGCCATTGTCGAAAATAAGTCCTACATGCGACTCGGAATAGCAATACGTAGGCACCTAACGATTCTGGGTTCTGACTAGAAACCTGGGTCCTAGCTTATACAGGTACTGTTCTGGGTGATCATGGTAGAGGGTTCAGGGGTGAAGAGAAATGGACTAGTGTTGAAGCCAGTTCCGACAGGGAGAGGTTCAGTTCGGTACCATGATGGGTCCATACTTACCTACCTATTGAAAACCACAGCGGAATTCCCAGGGGGGGGAGCTATCATAGTATGGGCCCATGGGGTGTGTATGATAGTGTGAAAAGTCTTGACAGCAGTGTCAACTATCATAGCACTGCAAACTATCATCGCACCCTTCAACTATCATCAAATGATAGCCGCGTCCTAGATTTTCCCACTATGGAAGGTGCAAAATCACACCTACAAACTACACAACAATAGGGGGAGGAACCAAGCACAAGGAAACGAGACCACGTACCTGACTACGTACAGTGCCCTGCTCAGGGCCACTAGACGGAAGCAATCAACCACACTACCTTACCTTCTTCACGGTCGGATTAGAGGGCGAACCTAGTGGTAGGGAGGAAAGGAGGAAAATTGCTTGAAGAGTGGCCCTGGAAGAACGGCGACTATGGATCTATTTATCCTGCTCCTGTCAGGAGTTCAGGGGCTGGGACCCACGCCTCTGCACAAGAAAAATTGACCCCTGACCCACGAAGAACCCCATACAACAACCACACAGAGCCCTTGTACAGACCTCCTGTGCCCAGCCCTCTGACCCGGGGAGGAGGTTGGGGGA